ATATGAAACGGCAAATTTCTGTTCTACAGAAGAAACTAAATAATCCAACACCTTAATAACTGTCTCATTGTGAATTATAATCTTTAATTTTTTTTTTCCAATTTACATTTCCGTGTGTTCTGAACTCTATATATTTTGACATCCTACATCTTAATCCTTCAAAGCCATAAATAATGGCAATATTAAAATAGCCTTTGTAAAATATAGGTGGAGGAAATATGTGTTGTGATTTACAACAGCTGCTTAAATCCAAAAAAGTTATGGTAAAATAATACTCATAATACATCATAACTGAAATAAATATTGAGGTGCCTGAAATTTTAAAATATCTTCTAAATAAATTATAAAATACATAAACAAAGTCCTGGGAAGACTTACATGGTCAGCCAGACACCTGGTCTGAGCTATAGACCTGGCTAGAGAGGTCAGGAAGTGAAATTTATTGAAGTCTGTCTCATCTATCATGAAGCTGTATAGTTTGTCCTTGTCATCTGTATGGGACCGACAGATGATCCCAAAACTGTTCTGACAATCTGAAATGAAAGTTAAGCTTTCTTTAAACAACATGTACCTGTAGGAATTGTACTTAAAGTATACTATAAGATAAGGAAATCTTTTCATATGTACAATTGTATATGTACCATAAAACAATACAATTGTAACTATTAGTTTATTACCTTCCGATTCTCTGTAGTTAATGACCCGTTTGACTGACTTCAGCTGTAGAAGACCCAGGTGTTTGTACTGTTTCTGTGGACTCCTCCTTAGGGCAGGGCTCTTTGCTGTGCTGCCATATTTGGTTCTTCGCTTACAGATCTAACCAAATAGTCCCATGCAAATGATTTACATGTATATACATTTATCTCCAAAAATCAAAGATATCTTATTTTTCTCTTTCCAGACAAAGAAAAAAATGAATCCAGTTTTATCCATATAAATCAGTACACTTTTAACCAATTATAAAGGTACACAATACAAATAGTTGCTTTATATTCAAGGTACTTTCAGAAAATTTCAATCTTATGAGTAATACATTTTTTTCATAATTTTAATATTGATACTGAAAATGAATGCCCACTAACCTCCAGAGTATCTGTAAATAGGAACAATGACAGGGGGAGACTCCGTCCACATAACTCATCTGACAACTCTATCACATCAGCCTTACTGACAAAACTACGGTGGGAGGATAGGATGGTAGCCTGTAAAATATATAATCAGCCTTACTGACAAAACTACAGTGGGAGGAGAGGAGAGTAGCCTGTAAAACATACAATCAGCTGATGTAGTAACTGCAAGACTGTGATATTTTATTAATTGACTATTCCATAGGAATTTTGTTTTTCTTGCAATTTATAGATATTTTTTTTACAGCAAGCAGTAGGTATACTAGACTTTCTGTAAAAATCAATCATTTATCAGTAAAGTTGAATTGCGAAACATTAGTAAAAGCATTAGAGCATTGGTCTGAAATTGTCAATTGACTGTCAAAAAGTTGCATAGACTTATAAAAGCCAATTGCAAATCCCTACAAAATACCCCAAAATTAATACATCCATCTTGTAACCAAACAATACTTGTAGGTAAGCAAATGCAGGTACCCATGTCTATCCCGTGGTCCCCTTAACTATACAGTTTTTTTGTTTTTCATGCCTCATTGAATATGATACTTATTTGGTTTTCATGCCTCACTGACTATGATACTTACAGGACAGTTATCAATTTCATTAATAATATGATACTTACAGGACAGTTATCGATTTCATTCATATGATACTTACAGGACAGTTATCGATTTCATTCATAATATGATACTTACAGGACAGTTATCGATTTCATTCATATGATACTTACAGGACAGTTATCGATTTCATTCATATGATACTTACAGGACAGTTATCGATTTCATTCATAATATGATACTTACTGGACAGTTATCGATTTCATTCATAATATCAAACATCACAACCTGGTTCTCAGTTTTCCTTTTATCTTCATTGATATGTCTGAAAAGTAAATTACCGGGTAAATAAAAGAAATAATCCCCAGTTTTCATACAAAAACAAACTTCTGTTTGTACGTGTTCATCAATGATATGTAAATACATATACATGTGTAAGCTGTTACATGTAAATACAATATAGCCATATAATATTTTTCCAGGAAAAAATCAACTTACGTCATAATTTCTTTAACAAGGTCTATGGCATTTTCTAGTCTCTCGTAATCAGGATTATCTTTACTGGTTTTCTTTATTATATCTATAAAAAAATTTCATTGATCATTATTTGTCCTAATCAGTATGCATGGAAAGATTTAAGAACATAGGAATATATAAGAAAAATCTTTAAAAATCTGTTTCTCAAGAACCACTGGGCCAGGAAAGATGAAACTCATGTGGAATAATCCTCAGGTAATGTAGATTCAATTTTGTTCAAATCATGACCCCCAGGGATAGGGTGGGGCCAAAATGGCCGATCAAAGATTTACATGGGAATATATAGGAAAAATCTTAAAAAATCTTCTTCTCAAGAACCACTGGGCCAGGAAAGATGAAACTCATGTGGAATCATCCTCAGATAGTGTAGACTAAATTTTGTTCGTCATGATCCCCGGGAGTAGGGTGGGGCCACAATGGCCGATCAGTTTTACATAGGAATATATAGGAAAAATCTTTGAAAATCTTCTTCTCAAGAACCATTGAGACAGGAAAGATGAAACTCATGTGGAATTATCCTCAGGTAGTGTAGATTCATGTTTGTTCAAATCATGACCCCCGGGGGTAGGGTGGGGCCAAAATGGCCGACCAAAGTTTCACATAGGCCCAGTGGTTCTTGAGAAGGATTTTTTAAAAATGCCATTTATTTTTCTCTAATTCATAATTATCTCCCCTTGAAAAAGGGTGTGGCCCTTCATTTGAACAAACTTGAATCCCATATACCTAAGGATACTTTTTGGCAAGTTTGGTTGAAATTGGCCCAGTGGTTCTTGAGAAGATGAAAATGTGAAAAGTTAACGACAACAACGACGACGACAGAAAACGGACAAATTTTGATCAGAAAAGCTCACTGAAGGCTCAGGTGAGCTAAAAAGCACAGCATTGTTATGTAATAAAGGCAGGAAAAAAGCCCTTCTAGAAATTTAATGCATATATGTAAAATTGCATAATCCAGATGCTGTGAATTTTGAAAGCTTCTTATTCCTTTAAATACGTATTACGTATTTTGACATTCAATACTTCCCGTGTATAACTATTTTCTATTTCAGACTTACCTCCAAGAAGCAGAGAAACACTGGGAAGTCTCTGAACAGGCCGAATCAACAACTCTGTCAGACTCTGACGACCACACTCGGGTTTACTCCGACACACCTACAGTGTAGCACAAACTTATTGATAATCATTGAAGAGGTGAGGCAACCAAAAAAAAAAAAATACATTTACAGACACAAACAAATTTATTATGAAATTTCATTTGACATGTTCCCAAGAAAGATTCAACTTTTCAGCTGGCTCATAAACTAAACTTCAAAAAAGTCTGAAAATCTGGGCCTCTAAATTGAATTCTGTACATGCAATAATAACTACATGAATAAAGAGAATAATTTATCAAATTAAATCAATTAATATTTCATGCAAAAATAAATGAAAAGGATCAAACTGAAGGCTCTCAATCTACAAATGTTCTCTCTCAGGGAGAGAATTTTTTTATCAATAGGTATGTATTAGTGTTTGAATTAGTACTTACTTTAAGGAAAGCATGGAATCTTGTGTTTGTTTTATCACATTTAGCTATGGTTTCTTTTGTTTGTTCAAAGTAATTCACAAAGGGAGGATATGCCTTCAGCATTGCTTCAGCCTGCAAAATAAACAAACGTGTATCAACATGTATTTATAAAAGTCATTTTCAAGCTGTAACTCTGCAAGTCAAAAGTTCAAAGAAAGAGAAACAAAATCCAGAGTTCTTGAAATCTTTCAGTTCTGTCTGCAAAACCGATAAAAACAACCAAGGACTGATTACTTTGCATTCTGTGTCAGTTCAGATGACCGGTAAGTGTTGACAGAGGAACTTGCGAAAATCCGACTAAATTTCGTACAAATTCCCTATAAGCGACCAATCGTAATCTTTCAAACGCTTTTTCTGCATCTTGAAATGGCTTCTTCAATGAATGCAAGTGCCAAACTATGATTGGTAAACTGTTAAAACAAGTTTGTTGTGTAAGCCAGGTGAGAACAATCAACATGATCGAACTAGATGGAAAACTTACACAAGAATTCAAAGAAAAAATATTATATGACGATCAAATCGGCATAAAATGTGCAGTGTTTATAGATGCCATGTTTATTGATAATAAAATTCATATACTGTAAATCACTTTTTATTCGCAAGAACTTTATTTTCGCGTAATTACGCGAGACAGTGTGCTCGCAAAAATTTAATTCTCGCGTATAATAGTATTCCTTAAGATTATATAGAGCAATAACCACAATTCGTGAAAATTTTGTCTCGCTAATCAAGAGTTAATGACTAACTCGCGAAAATAAGGTGTCGCGAAAATTAAGTGATCTACAGTACATTTTTTATTGAATTTAATTTGGACTGATAGAAATCTGTCTGGATTGACAGACTTCACATTGCAGACAGTCCAAATGGCTGACAGCAGAAAAAAGATTTCAAGAACTCTGAAAAACATTTCTTTTGAACTGCAACTTTGCAAGTCACAATTTCTCAGAGAAAGAAATACATTCAAATAAAAAAAACCAATGAGCGCCTTTTATTCAAAATGTTTTCTGGGTATTTACCTACTTAATAACACTTTGAACTCTAACCTCTTTTGAGATAACCTGACCTACTTACATGTTTTGATATGACCTGACCCACTAAGCATTCTTCTGTCCAGTTTTCCATCATGGCTGTCAGCTCCTCTTTGATTTCACAGTGAACTTTGTAGATAGGAGGAATGTTACCAAATATCAGCTTGATATCTTGTGGGGCCAGAATAGCACCATGGTATTGATTGGGTTTCTCTATTTCTGATTTAAAAACCTACAATTACATGAATCATGATAATGCTTTGAGATACATGTTCAATGCAGTTTAGTCTGGTGAAAGATCTGTCATATTCTAGTCTGTTACATACATGTTTATGTATACATCATTTCACAAAGAACTGACATTTTTTAATGATGTAAAAAAATCTTCTTACATTTAAAATGGTGTGCAAAATGCCAACATAGTTCTTTTCTGTTTGGAGTAATTCCATGACAACCTGTTGTCTGGGAGATAACTTAGATGGCATGACCTTTGACTTTTCTTCATTTTCAGCTGTTTCTTTAAATAGAGTAAAAAAAATCATGTTAACATGATTTACAAGAAATTAGATTTAACACTAAGATATAGAGTCATCATGTAAGATTTACAACATTGACATTCATAAAAATTTTACCAAATATACCTAACAACTAAAATTAAAACCCAAAACATTAAGTGTTAACGACTAACCAGCCAATGCATCTGATTTATCTGGAGTATGTGAGGCGTCCAGAAATGAACTAGGACTCATGGAAATCCGACTGTATTCACTGCTGGACCGTCGTTTGTATAATGGGGAGTCCAGCTCACCCTCTGCAGCTAGCTGTGCTATATTCTCCTTTAACCTCTTTCTTTTGCGGGATTTGGATCCAGATATAGACCGACCAGGAGTAAATACTGACTCAGAATTTGTTTCCTTTTAAAATAAAAAAATATTTACATATATTATGGTACAAACGATATTGTTTGTTAAGAGTTTACATTGTATCTTGTTGCTTCACTCATGCTCAAAAATTTCGGCAGATTTTTTTTTTACCGTTTGAAAAAAATTGAGCATACAAATTTAATGATCGGGATGCGTAGTTAAAGGTCACAAACACAGAAAAATTTTTTTCATTTATGTCTATGTTAAAGACTCTCTATCCCAAGAAAGGAAACTTGTTTTATTGAAGGCTGTTGAAAATAATAAAGGGCATTTTGGAGCTGTTATTTATGTGTTATTTGACCATAAAGTCAGTACCTTAGTACATTGTATAAAGCAGATCTATAATCTTCAGATTTTACTTGGCTCTATGGTAGGTAGGAGGAATGAAAACAAACATGGGGTAACAATCCTGACTTTTGACAGTAGAATAGGCCAAGGGTTTTTGAGTATTGAGCAAATCAAAACAAGTAAAAAAAACTGCATCAAAAATACACATATGTTATATTTTATCTTAAAAATTATTATAACCAAATAAAACATTTTCTTCATTAACGAAAGATTACCCCTATTCAACAATTTAAATGATTTTGCTACAGGGATATGTATGTGGTGGATGTTTTGCATTTAATAAGTTGTAAAGTAGTTAAATTACATGTAACTAATATGTTATAATATAACACAATAAACTACCACTTTACCTTTTGATATTCATAAAATCTTTCATCAGAGCAGGCCTCAATTTGTATACTCCCCCAAAACCACTGAAAATATAAAACAATGAACAACATTTTTAATAAATGGCTATTAAATTTTAAAAAAATTTTACTTTGAAAATTAAGCAAGCATGATAATTGCTATATCAAATTTTGCAGTTAAAGACTTACCTCTGCTCTGACTATAAAATGTGGTAGCACTATATCTTTAGGAAGCTCTGGTGTTTGTTGGTCATCCACCACTAAATGAGTACAGTCTTCATCACCAATCTCCGCAAATATTCCCCCTGAAAGACCACGGTAAAATAACACACCACGAAAAAGTTAGGAGAACATCAAAAGAAAATTTCATTTGATCATTTTTAACTCAAGTGTCTGTAAGAAAGCCATATCAAGGGGAAGGCTGAATAAATTGATTCCTAAAAAATATGCATGCATTCTATTTCAACAAGAGATTTTTGTAAAACACTTATGCCCCCCTCCCCCAAAACTGGAATTTTTCCAACTCCAAAAGGGCATAACTCTGTCAAAAATGGCGCGATTGTACCGAAAACAGAAAAGATATTCATCTGTTAAAATCTGTATACCAAATTTCATTTCAGTATGTGCAACCTCTGCAAAGAAAATGACCAGAAACTGCAAATAATTGGAATTTTTTCTAAGCCCAAGGGGCACAACTCTGTCAAAAATGGCGCAATCAAACCCAAAACAGATCTTGACCTAGATATTTAACTGATAAATCTGTGTACTAAATTTCATTTCAGTATGTGCTACGGTTGCGAAGAAAATGAACCGAAAAAGCAAATAATTGGAATTTTTCTAAGTCTAAGGGGCATAACTCTGTCAAAAATGGCGCGATTGTACCCAAAACAAAACTTGGCCTAGATATTCATATGATAAATCTGTATACTAAATTTCATTTCAGTATGTACAACGGTTGCGAAGAAAATGAACGGAAACTGCAAATAACTGGAATTTTTTCAAGTCCAAGGGGCATAGCTCTGTCAATAATGGTGCAATTGTACCCAAAACAAAGCTTAACCTAGATATTCATCTGATAAATCTGTACGCTAAATTTCATTTCCGTATGTGCAACACTTGCAAAGAAAATGAACGGAAACAGCAAATAATTGGAATTTTTCCAAGTCCAAGGGGCATAACTCTGTCAAAAATGGTGCGATTGTTCCAAATACAGAACTTGACTCAGATATTCATATTATATATCTGTATACCAAATTTCATTTCAGTATGTGCAATGGTTGCGAAGAAAATGAATGGAAACTAAGTGGATATACAGACCGACGGACCAAATGACAGACAGCAGCAAAGCAATATGCCCTCCCTTCTTTGAAGGGGGGCATAAAAATTTTGCAGCATGGCTGGTTTACAAACCATTTCCTGCAGTGACTTCTTCCATATGCTTTTTATCCTCTTCACTAAAACCATAAAAACACAAGCAGCATTTGTAGAATGGGGGAACCCTGTGTTGTACCTGTAAGAACAATACACTTCGTTGATACATATATGATCAGTATACATGTACAGCCAAACTTTAAAACATATTATTGTTAAATATGTACATAGCAAAGAAGGATAGAGAGCCAAACATCTTATTTTTCTGACAATTGAAAAACAGTTTGAATATTTTCAACTCTTAATATTTGAAATACATATTACTGTTTTTAAGCCTTTCCCACACTCCTGATATTGAAGAATTATCATCTTAACACACCAATCTCCAATTCATCATTCAAATGTACTCACTAAGTATTGAGTCCTTTTCATGAATATTTGCCAAAAACATGTTAATTTATTAAACATTTAGTGAGTAATATCTCTGTCAATATACCATTTTTTCATCTGCCTTCATTCCAATGACATCCCTATCTGCCCATACTTTGTAGATCCAGTCTGTTTTCACAATGGGAATTTCTAGACTACTGGCAAGCTGCAAATATCAAACGTTTTCTTACAATTACATCTCACTGTTATACAATATCAGACATGCTCATTGCTTAATGAAGGATTTCCTTCCTTCAAATTCCATACTTACAATGTGTATGAACAAGTAAATTCAGTTGTCAATTTTCACAAAAAGTTAGCATTTTAATTTGCAAATACAAGCTCACAATATATTCAGGTATTGGCAGTCAAATAAACAGAATAAGTTGCATTTTGTTCAATATTAATGGATTGTTTTCTCAAGATAACAAGTACCCACCCTGTATTTAGGACCATCTGTGCAGTCAGCGATGAGGTGAGTTACTTTGGAGGAAACATCTCTACGTACACTCCCTCCCATATGGTGCACTATTTCTGCTAAAGGCCTCTGGAAAAGTAATTCAATTTGTAAATCTAAATTCTGCATTACTTGGTAGAGTTTCTAGACCTTTTTCAATGATTTACTTTGATTTCCAATTTTTCTCCATCAGTGACTGTACATTGTGCAAAATTCAATACCTACTCTAGTCTATGAAATGACAATATATTCAGAATATATTTTTTATTTGTGCTGGTCTGCTGGGGAAATAATTTTGTATTTATCCTTACAGTATTTTTTGTTCAATATTATACATACAGCCTCTTGTTTATCCAAACCAGTAAAGCACAATATAACTCCTTCCATAGCTGTACAGTATAAAGGTCTGGAATGGCATGGTATCTCCTGAAAAAGTGGCCACAGAAAATAAACATCAAAATTGATGAAACAATCTTTGTTTTAATACCACATAGACACTTAACTTTTTTTAAATCTCAGATGTTGGCATCTTGAATATCCTGATATATTGTTTTTGAAGTCTCAACAACCTTCACTTTAACAAAGTTTGACTACATTTATCTAATAATCTTTGTGATTCTTAATTTTTCTTTATCTTAGTTTAAAACTAAAGGACTAACATATTTTTCTTTTGTCACCTTGTTTTCTTTGGCACAAAGCAGTATCACAGGTGGGCCAACAATGTTTGCCTCAGCTTTGTAGAGATTGTGAAAAACATCACCTCCAAACTCAGACAGAACAAAAACTGTCTCAATCTCCGAAGCCATGTGAATGAAGTCCATTCCTGTTTCAGACATACGGGTCTTAACACCCATAGTCTACAAAATTTTTTATGTGTAATGTATTGAAAACAAGTAAAGATCCAACATAAAGTTATACCTTAGATTCAACAGTACTTATTTACATTTTGAGGCAGAGAGATAAGAATATCAAAATTAATTTTATATGGATTAACATCATTAAATAATCGCAAAAAAGCACAAAAAAAACAATTAAAAACAAACAAACAAATATTGAAAAGAAATGAATTTCCCACACATATCAGTGTGCTTAATAAATTTTACCTTGAGAGCTTGTTGCAGATCTTCATTTTCTTGAGTCGTTTCTCCAACTAAAACTACCTGCATGGGTCTATCCTCTATAAAAAATAAATTTTTTATTAGTGATGTAGAAAGAATCACAACTTGTTGTAAAGTTTTGAATGATTATGTGTATACCTTTAAATTTCACTAAAGTTATGAGATTTTGCCTCGAACTGAACTTATACAAATTTGTTATAATGTTTTCTTTGGAAAATATGAATGAAGTAAATGAAATAATACTCAGATAATACAGAATTAATGAATTTCAGTAAAGTTTAATAATATGTTAGTCACTGATTTATAGATGGAACATGCACATCTAGCACACTTGATTATAAAAGGATTATAGTTCTATAAAATGTCCCATGTTATTTTTTAAAATTCAAATTATGTGTGGTATTTACGATTCATATACGATAAATATTAGCATATGATTAATGTAGTTAGACAGTATTAATAACAGAGTAAAGACTAAGATGCAGGCATATATCATATATGTATATATCAACTATATCCCTCGATTAAATTTAAATACCCAGATATGCAGCCAGATATGTGTAACAATATATACTTCTATAGTTTACTACATTATTATGATTATAATGTATATGATCTGCTACATTTTGCAGATGACATACCCCTCATAAAATGTTTATAGTATGACATTTTTGTCATAGGCGAGTGCTTTAATTGCAGTACACGAGTTGCCCCAATTTTATAAGCTATAATAGAATGAAAAATAACTTAAGATATTGATACATATGGAAAATGATTTGGTCAAATTATCCAAAACTTTTAGAGAATATCATTCTGTTTAGCATGGTTTAGGGCTTATCATGTTTATTAGGGATGGGTATCGCCAAAACTTTCGTATCGCGATATATCATGATTTTGTTTCCAAAATATCACGATAATATCGTGATATTTTTACAAGCAATTTTTACAATGATTTTAAATGAATAGTCATTATTTTTCTGAAAAATATGCTTATAGTGATTCATATTATCTATTAAAAAAAAAATAACAAAATTTCAATTTTTTGAAATTTTTATGTACATAAAAAAAAAATTTTATAAATTTAAAATTGATATTAAAATGCTGAAAATTGTTTCTCACCTTTTACAATATTTTTTTAGACTTTCTGTAATTGTAATTTGAAAGATTGAACAAATAAATGAATAATTTCTGGACATTATAATAGGAACCTAAATATTGGTATTTAGATCTCCATATCATGATACATATCACACAACAAAAAATCGCAATATACCAGTATACTGATTAAATTGCACATCCCTAGTGTTTATGTAAAAAAAAAGTTTTACTTTAATTCCTAGATTCCTTATTATGAAAAACCCCAGTCAATAATTTACACATATATCAACTTTTATCTCCAAAAGTAATTCGATACACAATAATACTGTAGATCACTAAATTTTCGCGACACATTATTTTTGCGAGATAATCATTGACTCTTGATTAGAGAGACAAAATTTTCACGAATTGTGATTATTGCTCCATATAATCTTAAGGAATACTATTATATGCGAGGATTAAATTTTCGCGACCATACTGTCTCGCGACACAATTTTTACTAGCGACTTACGGACATGAGTTAATTTCTCACAAATAAAAAGTGATTTACAGTTGGTAAACATATTAAAGGTGCATAGACACAGATTTGATATTAATATTTTCTAACATGTTCTTATAATTCCATAAGTTGTATGTTTCCATCACATTTCATACGAAAATATAATAAAACATTTCATACGAAAATATAATAAAAATCTTATTTTTTCTCGAAGTTATTGAACTTTTTTGGGGGGAAGTTATTTATCATTATGCATACCCAGTTACAAAAGCAAACCCAATCCCTTGCAATGGAAGTCTGTGCTCAATGTTGTGTACAGTTTAAAAATTGAATACATCCCTGAAACATACACAGTTTTTGTAAATAGGACACAAGCTCTCTTTTTGTTAATGTTTACGTTTCACCGGGTGTGTTCATTATTGTTAAACTCTGCGCACACCACTGAGCACGGACTGACCAAACTGATGTGTTGGATTTATTTTAGCACGTCTACTCTGAATTTTCTGTATTATAATTTTAATAATTTTCATTATATAATTTTAATATTATTCTTCGTTAAAACACAATAAAATTGTTACTTTTTTCAAGTATGAGGGATCAAGTTAAAAATTGTGAAGGTGTAAGGTTGCGTCAATCAAACACGTCTAGAAATTTGAAGTTTCAATAACTTCGACAAAAAATGAGATTTTTTTAATATTTTCGTATGAAATGCTGTGAAAACATATAAGATATGGGATTATACAGAACATTTTAGAAAATATTAACATCAAATCTGTGTCTATGCACCTTTCAAAAAAGTCCTTTTGTGACAAATAGCTGCAGATCAGTAGAAAACATTAAAAATATATAAAAGGTTTTATATATTTGTCTTTGATCATAGACAAATATATAAAACAAACCATAACGCTACAGAAATTTCTGCAGCTACTTTAAGGTCATAAAATCATTTTCCTTAACAAAACTTGGTCATGGGATATTGCAGTGATGTACAAAACATACCCCAAAAAAATGTCCTTTAATTGTGACAAATGTACAGCAGGAGACACTTTAAAACTTCGTTTTATTTCCATGAAAACATTAAAAAGATATAAAAGAATACAAAATCAGATAAATTATTTTACCATCTTCTTTCTTTGAAGCCTCAAGAGGCTTGGATTCTGTCGCCATTGTCGGCTATTCCTTTGAAAATGGCGCTGTTTAAATCGTACGGAGACTAAATCGTACGATGATTTTGATTGGCTGTTAAGATTTCTCAGAAAGTTAACTTGTACTGAAAAAAATCAATATCCATGTAACTATCATGAAATACTGATGGCATTTAAATCATTATATGTTATCCACTTTTAAAAAAGAAAAATAATAAAAGAAAAAAATTAGTGGATGTGATTAACAGTATTTAAAACAAAGAAATTATTGAACGAGTTAGCTTGAATAAATTTTATACTTTCATTTTCGTTTTATCTTCACTGACAGTTGGCAGACAACAAAGGGTAACTTATAGTTAATTAAAGACAGCTTTTGTCAATTTTTTGTTGGAAAATATAAAAGATTATCAGAATTTTTGATTTCATAAATAAAATGAAATGTACACGTCAGTGTATACATATATTTTATTCCTTTACTATTGACCTTGGATTTTAAGATGTTTGATGTACAAATAAGTTAAGACTTACGAAATTTCGTTTTCTTGATTCAGGTTTAAAAGATGTGATTGAGACATTTTTTGGTGTCAACCTATGAAAATGGATGGAGCATTACGACTTATCAAGGTTGTCAATCTTGGTCGAATGGGCTTCAGGGCTGCAGAGCAGGTTCAAAACAATTACAAACAGAAACATTTCGACTTTTTCCATGGAAGAACACCATCTGCAGAAAATACTTTGTTGTTAGTTGAGCACGATCCTGTATATACAATAGGAATTAGAAGCAAAAACTATGACAAGGAAACTGAGCAAAAATTACTTGGCACTGGAGCAGACTTTGTCCGAACAGATCGTGGTGGCCTAATAACGTTCCATGGACCTGGACAACTGGTAGCCTATCCAATTATAAACCTGAAGCACTTTAAACCTAGCATGAAGTGGTATGTGTGTGCACTAGAGAAAACTATGATTGACACCTGTAAAAAATTTGGATTAAAAGCAAATGCCAATCAAGAAACAGGCGTGTGGATTGAAGATAGAAAAATAGGAGCAATAGGTAGGTTGAAAGAAACATTAGGCTACTAACTGTTAATTAGATACTGTGAATTAAGCTAAAGCTAGAAGTGAAGACTGGCAATATGTAGTTCTGTCCATTTGCATAATGCATGTATTAAACCATAAATATATCTGCATTTAAGGATATCCGATCCTCAGCCAGGAAGGATAACTCTTTAATTTATAATTTAATTTAAAAAGTCTTAAAATAAAGCTTGAAATTGAAATTTTTTTCATGCAACAATTTCCATTGTATGCCTTTACATATGATTCAATGTTCTTTAAAGTTTTAACAAATGGTTTTTAAATATATCTGCATTTAAAGTTAACTGAAAACAAAGATCAATATCTACAGGGGGGGGGGTCACAGTTTATGTAAATGATGACAACTATTCAAATTAATTTTTTTCTATATATGAAATAATGAAAAACATATAATTATTATATTAAACTTATCATTTTCCCCCTATTTTATAGAGTAATCTTTCTCTAAAAGATAAATATTACCAGTATTTCATCTTAAAATCTTAAAATACCATTATGACAGTCAAATGGGTTCAATCTCTTATGTCAGATGGCTCAGTAATTGGTAGATTCAGGGGGCCTGGGTTTGCAATCTGATTAAAATCATATCCTTGATCCTCTCCTTTATTCTTTTATTTTCACTACACATTACACAATGATCTTCGTATAGTGAAAATAAAAAAAAAATAAAGGAGCAGATCAAAGATCTGATTTTGCGAAAATAAAAAAATAAAGGAGTGACCTTGGAATTTCTTTCCATCAGATTGCTTGGGTTTGAATCTTAATCTGGTCTGCTATATTTATCTCCTCTCCTGTTACATTTGGTGCCATGACCAGGATATGACAAGTTAAAGACCTGCCAGGAAAAAGCTTGAGGTTGAATTTTCAGGGGGTCAAAGATCTTTGTGGTAATCAAACAGGTTTGATTGCTGGTGCCAGAAACCTCAGTTGGTAGAGCAAGCAACTGGAGAATCTAGAGGCCCGGGTTTGAATTCCATTCTATTTTGCAATCATTTGCTGCATTTTTCTCCTCTCCCTGTACACCAGAATGGGAAGTTTGAGCAGATTGAAATATCACACTTGTTTTGCTGGGCATATTTTTATTTTATTTGTCTGAAGTGTCCAATCATATAGATCTATTGTAAGACAATTTATAATATCTTTTGTTAAATTTCTCCTCTTCAGGAATTCATGGAAGTCGTTATGTTACTACTCATGGGATATCTTTGAACTGTAACACAGACTTAGATTGGTATAAACATATTGTTCCCTGTGGGATTGAAGACAAAGGGGTCACATCCATCACTGAAGAACTTGGATCCGAGGTCAAAGTTCAAGATGTTTTATGGCCATTTTTGGAGAGCTTTAAGAGACAGTTTAATTGTGATCTCTCATTTGAATATCTCTCAAAACAAGATCTTTCACTCATAGAAGAAAGTGAAAAGAAACGTAAACAAATGATTTTAGAATCAGCAATAAGAATGAAGAATCAGGTATAATTTAAGTTTTGAGCTTTATTTTAATAAATTATTTATCAACCATCAATATTTGTTGACATTTTTAATAAGCAGTTCATCAGTCTATCTTTATAAATAGAAGCTTAGATTGTAGGTTCTTAACCTGTGGAAGAAACATATCACCAAACTAAGTTCTTGTCCAGTAATTTGGACAAAGAGCATAGTTATTTCCTGGAAGGGACACAATGAACATGGAGAGATTCTCACTCCTTTGAATAGCCATCACATGTGATGTGTTGAAAAACAATATATCACTCAAATTCACTAGCACCAAAGTTGTGATATAGCACTGCTGCTGTCCTTTTTATTGGGTCAACCACAAGATATGAAAATGTGTTTTCATGGTCCACTTTTGCAGGATAAAACATTTCTTCACCATCCTAAAAGGAAATTGAAAGTAAATCTGAGGCATGTTTCACTAATGTGTTCAGAGTAAGTCTGGAAATGAAACACCATTCCAATATTTATATATTAATCACAGTATAACCCGTTTAAAAATTCTAAAATTGTTTTTAAAAAATCACTTATTATTATCCTGAGCAAAAGTAAATTCAGATACAGAATATGAATTTTTATCATAACATCTCTAACTACTCACTTTTGCAGTAATCTTGAACACACAGGAGACAATACTGAGCTCTTTAGTATCTGGATTCTTTTGAACACTTTGAATAGAAAATTTAATATAAATTATTATTACTTATGAACTTTTATGCACTTGCAGTAGAATATCAGCATGCTTTAAAAGTGAATTTTAATGTGAATTAGGAAATTAACAAGATGTAATTTATAATTAGGACAATCTGATTAAAACCAGATCTTTGTTATGCTAATCCCCATCTGTATTTGTCCTGTGTAGGTTGTCTGTCTTAAACTTTTGAACATTTTCAGTTTTTTCTCTTGAATTTCTAATCAATAAGCCATTACATGATTGATCAGAGTGATATATATCCTCCTCTATATATAAAAACCTTATATATAGAGGGGGTATATATATCACTCTGATCAATTATATAATGGCTTATTGATAGAAATTCAGAGGCCCAGTGATTGGGATAAGCACGCGCCCTGCGCCATAGTCGCATTAAATTTCAAAATGTCACATTAAAATTAAAATCACTGCGCCATGGTGGCGCATATATTATCACGCACTACATACTTTTAAACTTTGAGCTTTCCCCCAAGCGCTTGTAGTATTTCCCAAAACAATCGCTGTCAATTTACGCTTGATAAAATAGTATTTAATGTCGTTCAATTAAAGCGTTCTTATGGGTGCAAAACACAGTTTTATGTATGACGTTATCAGGACGTTACTTGGTGAGGGACAAGCAAAACTGACCCCTATAAAAAAATAAAATGGAGGCTTGTTACATAGACTTCTGCATATCAATGGAAAGATAAAATTGTGAATTTTGTAAATATCCAACTATAATACATTCATCAATTACTACTAGGGGGTATTTGACACCTGAAATATGGGGGATATTGGGTTGTTTATGCATCCATTTTCAGTGCACCTATGCATTTTTAACCCCCCTGCTCAACAAAAACAGAAAAAATCAGACAAAATAAGTTGTATGCATTTCACAGAACAAGTCCTAAGGTTTTCTTTTAGTGTGCTTTTAGGGTACATTTTCCACCTCTTGAAAGAGCTACATTACCTGCTAATTGACTCATGCAATTCTGCACATGTGAAAACTGGATGTTTTGGGAGTTATCTCCCCCTATCAAAAAGTCTCACATCTTTTTTTCTAAAAGTGAATGCACATTTTTTTCTATAAATATTAAGATAAGACTCTACTTTATGCGAATAAAAACAAAAAAGATGCAGTTTTCATCTAGACTCCTATATATAGCAGGAAAATCCCTACCCAGCATGCTTCTCTCTGGGAAACTGTGTTTAGCTACCTATGACTTTCTTTTCTCCAGTATCTAATCAAACAGTTACGTGTTTTCTGATTGGCTAATGCGCACGAAATAAACTGGTGTCAGGCGTGCAGCATGCTGCCTAAGAAAATACCTCGTACCGATAAGGGGCAGACTTTTCTTAATTTTAACAATCCTAACAAACAGAATTCAAGTACATCGGTAGAAAATGACCCGGAAGAAGTATATCATGCTGACAGAACGAATGGAGATGAATCTGGCGGTAAGACTGATGTAGTCTCGGAGGAAAAACCAAAACGAAAATTTAACATGAGTCGGAGGGAAGTATAGATCTAAACCAGGATTTAATGTCAAACATCGGAGACAAAAAATAAAGAATTGAAATTAATTTGCAGTGTTTATTTTCTGACACTTGTGAATTTAAATATACTAATTTTGTATCTTTTAATGTTGTCATTCAATAATTTGACAATTTCAATTAAGTCAAGTCAACTGAAATTCTAACAGCAAGTAATCAATTGCAAGTTTGTAACTAGGAAATGTCCCATTAAAAAGTCTGTTTGGCGCATTGAATTTTGAAATGTCACATTGACACTGACTTGGAGTGCGCCATTGTCACATTTACTCCCTAGCTTATCCCAATCACTGGAGGCCTGTGGAACCACTACGCCAATTTCCACAAATTTTGGCATCTATATGTAGCAACAACAGATGAAGCCCCAAATCTCTTTAATTTTATTGAACCAGCAACTCTGGGGCCTCGGGGATTGGACTTAATGCAACACCAGCATATCATAGCATAACAAAGATCTGATTTTATCAGATGGGAGTAAAGAAATATTCAGTACATATAATATTGCACTCTTCTAAGTATAAACTAGCTTTTGCAATGAAACTTAAGGTAAAATAATCTCTCTAACTTAAAAAAAGACCGTATTTGTATTGAGACCAAGAGGGATTAAAGTAAATGCCATAACTTTAAATAAATACCAGTTAAACTAAAGGTCAAATAATACTATATATAAGGTCAAAGTTCAAACTTGTACACTGATAATTTTTTTTCTTTCATTCATTGGTGAACAAAAATCCCTTTATGTACCTTGATATTTACAAATTTACTCAATGGTGGTGGTGGTGGTGGGTGGGGGATACCTGATTAAATCCTTGTAGAGCTGTTTGGTGACATCCAAGTACGGTTGTATTTCATCTTCAAACTGATTAAATCTTCCACCAAGGCAAAGATGGAAAAATATTCGGAATAAAAATTCATCCCTCTCTGAATCACTGTACAGACAATAGTTATCGGAATCATCAATTAACAGCATCTAAAATAAAATGAGTATGTTATTTAACATTATGATAAAGAGCCAATCAAAAAGGCTTAAAACATAATTTGTATTAAAGTCAGTATTTAGTTCTACTGTTTGTCATCATTTTGCTGTAATTATATTAAGACATAAATTTAAAGATGAATACAGTGCACATATCTAAACTACGTACATTGCAATTCTATTGCTTAACTAGATTTGGAGATATTCTAAAGAACTTTGGTACTTTATTTTTCTAGGAACAAATCTGAAAATCTTCAATTAATAAATGCTTCAAAAAAAGACTTGAAGGTATAAATAATTTGCAAAATATTATACATGTATAATCAATATGCATTGGCAGTATTTCGAGACAGAGTTTGAGAATGCATTCAACCACACTCTGAAATTACAAATTTTCGTGGAAGTTTAATTTTTGTTTTTTTTTCAACGTATGAAGAGATCCATGAATTCATGTCCACCACAAAATGTAAAGTATGTTACATTTTTAAACAATTCTTCATCCACGAAATCAAATCCCCCTGAACCAAGAGTTTTTCCTCAAACCACAAAAATTGACCCCACAAAATATGCGATTTTACAGTATTTGTTTTTGTTTTAAATTAATAAACATTTTAGATTTACTTTTCTTAATTCATCTGAGATCTGGAATTCTCCACAAAACTCATCAAAACATTTGCTGATGTGTCCTGACTCCCTCACTACACCTTTGTCTGTGAGTCTGTCAAAGAGAGTCATGGACAGGACAGAGCATGGTACAACCTCAGCCGTCACACTTGTAGCCGGAATTCCTAAGAGAAATTTGAGAAATTGTTATATATAATCATAACTCCCATTGTGGCAAAAAATTTTGACTTACTAAATGAATATACATTGGATATCAGTTGTTGAAAATTACCAATTAATATCCTTCTGTACTTGAGAAGATTTGAGATTTTCCTTTAAATTTTTTGGTAAAGCTTTGACCCCCATTTTGTCGTCTGTTGTTCTGACTTCCAAAATATCCAATTAAAAAAAACAAGCTTTTATATTTGTTAGATTATTGATGTTTTGCTATTCTGCCAGAGAAATTTGAAATGTATTTACCAACAACTGTCCACTTGTCCCCAGATATCATGCGTAAATTGGAAATTACTTTTGGATCCTTCATGAAGTCCTAAAAAAATATATTTCATTGTAACTATATGTACATGTCTGCTTGCATCAGTATAAACATATCTTTAGCTGTTTATTTGAAACTCTTAAAATTTTCAGAAATTATTCAAAGCATTTACTTAGTATAAATGCAATATATCATGCTGATAGAGTAAAGGTGGTTTTAATTTGCATTTAAATTTGAAAGAAGTGTTGAAGAGTTAGTTAGAAATTATCCCATAGAGTTGCAATGTATCAAAATAAAGCAGAATCTGCTAAGCCAATTACTGTAAACCAACTCTTATTCGTGACGAACTTATTTTGCGATTTACTGGGGAAGATTAGTTCGGGAAGATTAATTTTTTCAGGATCAAGCCTTTTCTTGATCTGTTTTTGATAGAAACAGAGACTTTAATGACCGGTTTGAAGTGAGAAATATTTGGGATGAAGAGGCTCTAGCAAACCTCGCAAAAATTTCTCACACGTGAATAAAAGTTGGTTTACAGTAATTAAAAAGTATAATTGTCTATTACTGTTTACTAAAACATTATGATATCAATATCATTTCATTACCTTTACAAAGTCATCCTTTTGATAAGATTGAAATGGTTGGTCAAAACTGAACATCTGTGCACAAATCCTTCCTTTCATTGACCTACAAAAGATTCTAGCTCAGTAAGCTCATAGTAAGCTGCAGATCTGTTGCTTTCTGCTTAGCTGCAATAATGTAGCCCTCTCCGATTTTTTTATCTGATGTTTTCTGGAGAGGCTCTCTCCCCCCCCCCCCCCCCCCAAAAAAAAAGGGGGGGGGGGGGAGAGGGCTACATTATTGCAGCTACTTTCTGCTGAAAAAATAATTCGGAGAGATAACGTTAAACTAGAGAAATTTTTGTCTATTCTAATTTTCTCAACCAGAGAGTTACAGTTCTACAGCTAGCTCATAGTTAATGTAAAAATTCCATTAATGCAGATATGCAATGCGCCATCAGGATGGAGCGCATCGGTCAGATGACCGAGTAGCATCACGCATAGCGTCTCTAGCAACATGGAACAAAGCTTTACTTACCATTTCATCAATAATTCCTTATTCTCCTTGCTTTCAAGAGAAGGGAATTTTCTTCCATCTAAATACTGAAACGTAAATTTTGGTTCATTATCTCCAGACATATTAATTTTTGAAATATTTTCTTGTTTTGGCGTGTCTAAAACATGTAAATCAATTTAATGCTTGAAAATTGTCGTAGTCTCAATAGCGTTTGAAGATTTTTGCCAACGCGTACCTTAAATGTTTCGATATCACTTCATTGGGAAGCAAAAACCCTCTTTTCACTACTATCTAGGTTTTTTTTTAAGTTAAACTGTATGTTTATGAAATTATACAAAATCACATTTAAAAACTTACTCATTTCAAGAAATGTTCATTTTTTATTACATTTTTAAAGGACATAGGTATGAAACTGATGTGCAATCCAAGACTGCTCTCGGAAAGTTTGACTTCAAATATTCATTTTCAAATGTTAACATGGAGTATGTTGCTCATTTAATGCTTTGATCAGGAGAACCGTATACACTGTAAAAATAGTCAAAAAGTTAAAATTGGAATAATAAAAAAAATAGCAAAACGTACGACTTTTCAACACTTTATGCAACAGATCCCGGTTTAAATTCAAGTCCATGTTTTCGACATCATAGACAGCTTTTTCTTTTAAAAAAATGAACTTGTAAATTTACTTATTTTGTCGACGCACATATGCAAATCATTTTGTACGTATACATGTTTATAAAAGACAATATATGTGTAGTTTTTGGAGTAAGGTCATCAACAATCTGTTGGAATTCCCATGGGTACTTATTGCGCCCCGTTATTCACAGGAGATATTTTTGTTTTAGTATATTCATATTTTTATGATTTTAAAAAAATCTACGTTATGACAGTAAAGTTTTTGCTGTGGCATTCAATACACTATATTTAAATATGGTGACGAAGTTTTATTAATTTACAATAATATATTCATTTTCATTTATAGGATGATTTCATTTATATCCCTTTTAACTAAAATAGACACCACAAAGTCTAACACATTTGTTTCATATCTGAATACTTTACTGTGGAAAAGTTACTAGTAATTGTTACCTGACGACAGAACTTTGTGATAATCGGGATGACTTCATCTTTTCTATCAACAATTTCACTTATTTATGCAACAATATACCATTCAAACCTGCACTTGGAATTATGTCTACCAGTCGATTCGATTTTCTATATATGAAAAATTTTTTAAAGGGTACAAGCTATTAACAAACAAATTGACGAAACAAAGGTATCAAAAGTTTTGTTTAAAAAGTCGACATTTCGCAAATTCTAAGGTCGATACAATGAACTCGCATCAAATCCAACCTATCATTATGTTTGCCCGATCATGACAGTTGTATATACCAACAGGAGATGCTTACTTTCCCATGATACCTGATCCCAACTCTGTTTTTAGAGTTCCATGTTTTCTCTGCTCCCAATCTGTATTGCTTCAATAGACGTTTTCATAGCTCAAATACTGTAATGTTCGCTATAATCGTAGTTCATCCTATGTGTACATGCGGATACATGTACATGTAGCTAAGGGTTGTCAAGGTGACGAAAGTCATTTTGAATAAATTTTTAATCAACCATAGTCGCAGCCAGGTACTTTAAGATTACATCTAGTAATCATTAGAATTACATCATCATCGACGTAGTAAAATAGGAGTGCATTTGTGTTTGCTATATGTAACTTAAGCTTTAATTTTTCGGAAACCAGTGAGCAATTGACAACAAACTCATTGAGAAGGAACCATTTGTACATGTCAGGTATAATCGCAGTATAGGTAATTTATTATTTTCAAAACAAGTCGTTCGAAGAATTGAATTCTGCCAAAGTTATGCCAAGTGTTTGATTTCCCTCGATCAGGCAACCAGATTCACACTGAATGCTGCTCTAATGTCTTTTAATGAGTCTTTCATGTCTTCATTCAAGGCCACGTCTTTTGACGCCAATAAGACCATGTACAATGGAGTCAAATTTCGTACATATACCGACAATTGCAGTGAAATAATACATGGTATACCCTAAAGGTTTTTTTCAAGAACAACGATGGCACACATTGTCACTTAGATGTTGAAACACTGCCATGTTAAAATTTTGAACTTATATACTCAGTATATAAGACAAAGGAAAGAACCATCGTGTAGTGTAACTGAAATTTTGCACTAGGGAGGCCAAGAAACCAAACATTTGGTTTATGTCGTCCATTGAAGTTGGAATACTTATTTCTTATTCACTAATTTTCGTGGAATGGACAAATCGCACAATCAACAGATAGGGCAGCTTCCTCGGAGTACATGAACCAGTCCTAACTCAAGGAATATATGAATAAAACTTAATTAAGTCTATTATAAAACCCCTTTTCCGTCAATGTTTCATCGCATAAGTAGTTTTACAAGAAATAAATGAAAATGAACACTATTTTTCATGACATATTTAAGGAATAACTGTCATAATTTTTCGATTTCATGACGTGATCAATCGATTGGCTTGCGTGATAATTTGCATAAACGCCGAAGGCGTTTATGCATAAAATTATCACGCAAGCCAATCGATTGATCATCGTCATGAAATTGAAAAATCTGACAGTTATTCCTTATATTTACATGCTTTGATTCCGCCAATCCACGTGCTCCAAGCCCTGCTTCTGTCTAGCTGTTTGTCCCTCCCTGCACGTGGTTTTTTTCTTTCTTTTTTTTTTTTTTTTTTTTTGGAACCGCACCAATACATTGATGAGGAAATGAAGTACATTTACAATTTGTAATTTTATCTCGGACAAAGACATTGGAAATGTAAATATATATGAATTCAGAACATATGGTTAATTTATTTGAAAAGAAATAATCATAAATATAAGATAACAATGCAACTTCGAAAACTCATGAAAGGCGCTAAAAAGAAAATAGATTGCGCACGATTTATGGATCTCTCCTCTCTTACATCTAACTTTGTTTCTAAGATGTCCCAAGCTGCATAGGAACAAAAACAACGACTTCATCTATTTTGCCTTATTTTCGGGATTGTCCGTGAACACGGCGTTTCAGCTGAGGAATAGACTGCTGAAAAGGTCTGGGAACCACAAATTGTCCTGGGTCATGTCTCGCAGGAAATGGACGAGCATGTTGCTCATGCGCAACCGGTCCGTGTTGGAAACCACTGAATTCCGGTCTTTTTGTGGGAAATCTAATTTCTTCGTGCTCTTCAGGTCTCTGGAACTCTGGTCGTTTGGTGGGGATCCTGAACGGCCTTGGTACCCTAGGTTCTCCGCTGTCGTAATATATTTTCCGGGGTACGGGAACACCTTGTGGAGATGGCGACTGGTCGATGTGGTGGTCGATGTCTGTAGGTTTAACTTCGTATATTTTACTTGTTCTGCAGAGTTTGCCAACAATTGGACCAACTCGGTTAATGAACTGACTGAGTAGGTCCTCGTTCCTCATTATTTTGGGGGTCTGATTAAAAGAAAATACGACATTTCAGCAAAGATATGCAAATATTTGGGACTATAATTCAAAATTTAAAAATAAAAATACTAACTTGAGACTTATTCGTTATAATTTTTAACAAAATACCCGTTATAACGGGATAATTATATCGTATAACGAGTTAATTAGTATTTTTGTCATCATTTAGATATCCGACTTTTATCCCTGTTTTAAACATTATAAAAAAGAATCGTCAAAAAATACGCGACTTACCACAGCCGACATGACGGCAATTTTACTGTCCTGGTCCAGCCGCCATTCCGGATCGTAGTCTGTTATGTAACAGGACCGGAAGTCTACATCTCGAATGACTGTTATTCCCTGAAAATAGGATAAAATCGAAGTATTAGTTTAAAAAGTCATCAAATCGCTTAATGCTTAAAAGGGGACGGCCTTCAAAATGGTGTACAATACCAATAGCATACATCATTAGGAAACATTAAAGCATGAAATTCGTAACTCTTAAAATAACTCATAAATCAGAGAAAATGTAGAGTTAAAGGACCGTCATTGAGACAAAAGTCAAAACTTAATTTAATGACCCAAGGGGTCAAGGTCATAAATTATTTTACATCATCGATTGATCATGAATGTTAAAGTCTAGTCGAAGTCAGTCGATTTTGCCGATGAACAAATAAATATAAGTGTTGATAGAGATGCAGATTAAGGTTGATAAACTCTCTGCTCACTCATATAAAATGTTGCTCGAATCTTAATGATTTTCCAAAAGAAATGTATTTTATAAGTAAAATACAAACAATTATAGCATAGCTTGCGGGGCAAAATTGGACAAAAAAAACACTTCAACTTGGAAAATCTATATGGAATAATAGACATTTATGTCACCAAGAGTTATCTCTCTTATCAGAGTATCAATGACCCTTAATTGCCCCCGAGTAAAAAGATGATTATAAGTCACATATCTGTAAATATATATTATGTGTTTGAATTAATATTGAGTTTAAGATGCTTATAAATTAAGGTATTAAGTCCAGCCTATTATAACAGATAAAAAGTTATTATAAATAGTTTCCCTTACTCATTTTCGAGTGTATATCTCAGTCCAAAAAGGTAAACATAAAAATAGAATGAACTCTGAAACCAAAATCAAAATTAGGCACTATCATATAAGATTAATTTACCGTAAATGAATCCTTGTTAATATTTTAATTATATGCATTTTATTACAACTTTTAATTCAATTTCACTCTAGCTAGCTGGAGACCGATAAATTGTTCTTCTTATAAACCTTTATTTATTTTTAATCTGGAAGCGGTCAAAATGACCTCTAAGCATCATCAAAGTAGGTGAGATATGCGAAATATTCTATCAGTAGGTACAATAGAATTCAGCTGTAAGCGGACGGTTGTCTTGGAATCTGTTTATCATAAGGAACAAATAATCCCGTATCCAGGAAATTTTTCTTACTCCTCAGAATGGATTGTCATATATGAGCTTCATGGGTTATCAGTTTGGTTTCCGACAATTGTAATTAAGTACGGTTTGATGAAATTATGTCATTCGAATAGTGCCGCACCCATAAGTTTCTGCCGGTCTTGTTACGCAATAAATATTCACTATACCGATCATCTTCATCTTTGGTTAAAGAATTTTCTGTACGCTAAAGGTTTCAAAAAACTTTAGAATACATGTATTTGAATTTCTTAACGCCGTCTATGCCCAGGTTTGTATTTCAGGTCGATTGTAATGTTTATTGTCGTAAGAACTGAATAGGCACCCCCTTTCTCATTATACCGAAGACTAGAGAAAACTAAACTACTTAATGATTGTAACCCCCCCTCCCCAGCTAGGTAGTAATGTCGCTTTCGCTTGTCTAGGAATTTTTAGTACACTTTATACACACTTTAAAGCAAATTTTAACCTCTTCAATCATCGACAACATATAGTTATGCCATATGTTCTGAGGTCTCATGCACTGTTTGAAGTGCCTGTAACGAAATCTTAATACTTTGGCAATGTTTTCAACTTTGCAAAAGCTTGTCTTGTGCGCGACTTCCTTAAAATTCACGTAAAATCGGATACATTTGTATGAATTAATTTTCTGCAACTTCATTTCTCCATGAAGGAAAAATATTTTCAGTAAATTTTAAAGAAATTTTTAAGAAAACTATGCAAAAAATCTATTAATCTTTAATAATAAGGTTTTTACTAAAAGTATAAAAATTTTTAATGTGTTCTCAAAGTGGATTACGCGACACTGTCCGTTTTTATATTGTCCTTTTATTCAAAATATGCCCATGAAAAGTATGTTGTATTAAAAAAAACACCTACGTTATCTCTGTCGTTGTAATGTAAATCTGTATTCCTCTCAATAGCATCAAAGACAGACTGGGGCTCTGATGAAATGGGAAAAGGTCTGAAATACCGGCCCTCACAATACTGAAATACAAAAAAAAAGAGAAATTCAATTCTAACATTCTATACATTATTCAAACTTAATTTGTATTTTGTATCTTGAAGAAAGAAAAAAAAACCTATCCAAACACTGTCAAATTACTAAAAACAATAATTTAATCGAATTTTTGATGACCAAAATCTCGTGTAATATTGTAAAAGTCCCTAAAACACTTCGAGTTGGAACTGACCGAATTAATGATGCTGGAAATTATTTCGAATTTGCCAACAAAGGAGAATTCGGACAATTTTATTCCCACCAATATCCCCCATGTCTGACTCCACACTTACTAAATTTAAGTTTTGCTTTGAATTAAAATTAAATATAAATTTATTGACCACTTTAACTTTTATTGTTACTAGTTACTTTTTGAAGCTATTTTTTTTCCTGTCAAGGACTAGGAAACGACAATTTTGTCCAAATCCAGATACGAAAACTTAGTAGTAAAAGATACGGAAACTTAGAAGCAAAAGTCGGAAAACTTTTTGAGACTATTATTTTCTTTTTCTTCAATTTCTTCCGTTAGGTTAGATTTTACAGAAAAAGTATATCGCTTTGTTCACTTAAATCTTACCAATAAAGCTCCGACAAATGTCACAATGTACAAGAAATCCATTGTCTTGCTTCAACTTATTTGAAATTTTTGCTTAGTTCTACTTTGCTAGTTTATTTATAATCCCTATCCTTTTGTTCCATCCAATCACGATTCAGGGTTTGTCTTGGGGGGTGATAACAATACCCTAAGAATTTGTTAAGCCTTGAATTCATAAAGCCAAAATAAACATACACGTGATTAAGAGGGAGTACTCAGTTATTCACTGTAGACTTCTAAATTAAGAAATTGTTAATTGCTTTTTATTTAGAAGCTAAAGATTAATTGGTACGGACTTGGCTAGTGATTTGTATACAACTGACTGGTCTTCTATAATAAGAAAATGATTTGCGATTCCGGGTATAAAAGAGTAGAGTCAAACTGCATTAAACAGTTTAAAACAACCTCAAAGTCTGGAATTGATAGGAACAGATTTATGTCCTTGTATCAACCACTAAATAAAAAACAACGTCGGTCCTGGTATTAATGAAAAACCCTCGCAATAATACAAGTCTCATAAATTTTAGGAAACGATTCGCCTTAACCATACCTTACCACAGAGGTTACAATGATACCGGTATCAGTTGAAGAGATAAATGGTATAGGAGATAGAGTTTGAAAGATTTCACAATTTGTTGCCAATTCATTCGACTATCAGCAGGAGCCATTCTCTCGTATCACTGAAAACAAAAAGCTTTTCTAGACCCCCGAGAGATTTATCACTGACCCTAACGATACTTGACAGTCATTATTTTGTCAATATCTGAAATGACCCGCCTCCTTTCAATCGTCCTATCATCTCCCGGGTTGTTTACTGTATTTGTGACCCCTCCATTCAACTCAGCACCTCCCAGTAATAAACTCAATAAACAAGCTATATTTAAAATTGTATGAATCACCAATAAACACCCGCGGTACTAGTATATACTAACACCAAAATAAAAATTGATTCAGATTTCAAGTTGAATTGCCGTACCCAGTCTTTCTTGTAAGACTTAAACATTGGTCTACGCGTCTCTCTTGTTCTCTGTGAACGAAAAAAGAAAACGCTATAGCAGTACACAGGCACGTAGCATCGTTTTTGAAAGTGGGGGGGGCCAACCAGAGAAATTTTTTTTTTACATACCTGAAAAAGCTGACAAGCCAAAAAAAAAAAAAATTAAAAGTTGCCCAAACTCGAAAATCCTATTTCGTGGGGGGTGGGGGGTAGCGGCCAACTTTTTCAAAGCCAACTTACTATCACTTTCAATTTTTTCCCTACAATCCTTGATATCACTATACTATGGTTATAAAGTGGGGGGGGGACAACCATCCTATCATTGAACATTTACTATAGTAAAGGTTATGTTGGGAGAAAACTGCCCCCCCCCCCGGTTGCTACGTCCCTGGTACAAATGCACGTCATTTTTGTGAAACACTGATGCTGCTGTATGACAGCTTAGCAACCTATAGAGAAGGTTACTCTTTCTAAAATGCAAGTCAAACTCCAAGTCAAGAAATCAAAATTGTTAGAACCCGAGGAAACAACACATCTCGAGGAATATACCTCTGAAATGCGAAAGCCCTATCATTAACCGTTGAATCAAAATTAATGATGCCCAGAGATGGGTCTTATGAAATATGAAAGCCAAAGGACCAATCCTTCGAATAAAGGTTATGGCCAAGATTATATAGTTTTTCAGGAAGGTCAAACTTTAAGGTCAAAGTTGTTGGTATCCAAAGGAAGGTCTTGTTACAAGGAATACATACGTGAAGTATGATAGTCCCAGCACGAACTGTTCAAAACTTATCAGTTTGGCCAATATTAAAGTTTTTCAGAAGTAGGTCAGACTTCAAAGTCAAGGCGTCAAAATTGTTGGTATCCAAAAGGAAGGTCTTATTACAAGGAATACTCAGTACACATGTGAAGTAAAGCCTTAGCACCAACTGTTAAAACTGTATGACCGGGACAGAAGTGAGGCAAAATTTTACAAAACTGGATCAAAGTTCAAGGTCAAGGTAAAAAAGTCAAATATGATGGTACCCAAAGAAAATCTTGTCCCAAGGATCGTACAAGGAAATCCCTAGGACCAACTGTTAAAAGGTTTGGCCAAGGTTAAAGTTTGGTAAAATTTTGCAAAACTTGGTCAAACGCCAAGGTCAAGATCAAAAGGTCAAATATGATAATACCCAAAGAAAGATCTTGTCCCAAGGAATACACACGTGAAATATAAATGCCATATATCCAACCAATCAAAAGTTATGAGCAAGGTTTTTTTTTTTTTAAATAGAAAAAAAAAGCCTTTTCAAGACTCATGAGTCATAGAGTAATGCAAATTGGGTAGATAGGTAGAAGGACTTTTTTTCCACAAAAACACTTTCGATTGAAGGACTAATATAGTTAATATGAAATGAGAAAAATATCAATCGGAATAAATTAAAACTCGATCTTTTCCCCTAATTAAGCTAGGTTTGCGTTTTAGTCACCCGGTCGAGAGCCTCGGAAGACAACTGTTTTATTTTTTTTTAATTATAAGTTAGCCTAATAATAGCCCGTTTCGAAACGCTTGACTGTGTTTGTCATAATGTTGGTATGCTTGTTTGCATAATCCTCACAGAGCATGATGAGTTTAAGCAGGGATTTAAAACCTTGATCCGCTCCGCATGCACACGTTATCTCTGTGTTGTTTGTTCCTTGGACTTGATCTCAGGCTACAGTAAAGTTCATAAATTCCCCGGTTCGGACAAGAGGCATAAGTAAGTAAAAGTGTGTATATACTTTTGCTCATATAGTTGGATAAAAAGAGTTGATATATAAGCACAGGTATTTCCACAATAACTGAAAATTAGTGAGTTATCGAGGAGCAGAGAAAATCATGAAAAGGGGCACCAGAAGGGGCATCATATATATATATATATATATAGTGTACCATGTACAATGCAATATTGAGCTACATCTATTAGAAACTTGATTGAAAAAGTCCCTTTAATTGTTGTTCCATTACTTTCTTGTCCGCTCTGGATATGTATGATATTGAATATATATATCATTCTATTTTAAATCATGCATGACCTATAAATCGATCCGTGTGCTCACACGTAATATGTTGTAAACACCAATATACATCAATGTCAAGGTTTAAAAAAAATCAGCGCTGTCATTTAAAGTATATTATTTTAGCTATTACAGACGATATTTTAACATAATTTTTTTTTGATACAGTTAAAATTGTAAGAAATTATTTTTTTCTTTGGAAAGAAAAGAAGGGACCGAGGGACCGCATAGATATACGACCAAGAGGGCTAGAAATGTAGAATAACTTGAAAGAAATGAGGGACGGAATTAAGGGGTTGGGTAGGGTCAATAGGCGGGAATGTGGGTGAAGGAGGAGAGGTTGGATGAAGAGGAGAAAAAAATATGGGGACAAGAAAAAAGAGGCGATAGAGAGGTAAATAGAATATGTAGATCATATTTATTAGGTGGAAATCGGTATAGTGATCGAGAGGAGGAAATATGAAGATGGATACTTTGTCCAATCGTATAGAAAGAATGTGCATGCATATGGTTAATGTGAGCCAAATAGCACAAAGTTCATAAGTATTTTTCTTCTATTTCGTACAAATGCATGATGCTAAATCATTATTCTTAATCAAATGCTCTTATGACCAGCTCGAACTTATTCTAATACATGTACATCACAGGCACTTATTTCGGTATTAATTTTTTAACCCATAGTAAGATAACAACACCCTTGTGTTATTATTAATATACTATGGGTTAAAAAATTAATACCGAAACAAGTGCCTGTGATGTATGCTGAACGTCTATCAGACGTATGGTACTTTTAAGAGATTATTTTTAAATGATAAATTAAACCCTCAACAAAAGATTTGAGTATTTTTTGGTTTGAAATAAATTTTGAATAAAATGAGAGGTTTAAATCCTGTCATTTTTATGCCTCCTTTTCTTTTTACAGAGATGACAAAAATCTTAGGAATAGATTTCGCGCCTCTCCACATTCCGATGGAGCGTCGCCTCCAGACACTAGCGGTCCAACAATGGACTCTGTCCTTTTTGTTCCTGGGATTTGGATGTTTATTTTTGATGATTTATTTATTGTTTACTTCCCTTTACTGGATTCCCCTATTATACTTAGCCTTCTACGTTTACGACAGAAAAAAGTCCGCACGAGGAGGACGTCGTTGCCAGTGGATACGAGAATGGGCGGTGTGGAGATATTTTCAGAAATACTTTCCTATAACTTTGATAAAAACAGTGGATCTGGATCCAAATAAAAACTATATAATGGGTTTCCATCCTCATGGAATACTCAGTGTCAGTGCTTTTTGCCATTTTGCTACAGAAGGATCCGGCTGGAGCAAAACATTTCCGGGCATTACGCCATACTTACTGGTACTTCCAGGCCATTTTCAGTTTCCTGTGTACAGGGATTATTTCATGGCAGGTGGTAAGTTCATAAACTTTAACGAAAGTGACAATGCTGCAAAGAAGACAGTAACTTGCAAAGTTGTAAATGTGAATACTAAAATGGGTCTGGCATGGATTTCTGAATTTTCCAGGCGCAGTTGAAGCGACAGCAGAAAGTATGAAATTCCTTCTGACGAGACATGGGACCGGAAATGCTCTAGGTCTGGTGGTGGGCGGAGCTTTAGAAGCATTAGAAGCATTTCCGGGAAAGTTTAATTTGAAACTTGCAAAGAAAAAAGGTTTTATCAAAGTGGCATTGCGAACTGGGTAAGATAATGGTATAATGAATTTCAGAAAATCAAAGAAATCACATAATAATTTAGAAATTTACATTTCTCAGCATAATTTTAGTAAAAATGTTACTTTTATCATATTCAGGGCATGTTTAGTTCCGATGTTCTCCTTTGGTGAGCACGAATTGTTTATACAAGCAGAGAATCCTGAGGGATCCCGACTGAGAAGCCTTCAAAACTGGTTGACGAAATACACAGGGTTCTCTCCCCCTGTTTTCCACGGAAGAGGAATGTTCAACTACACATTTGGTCTAGTTCCCTACAGAATTCCTGTCTATACAGTTGGTAATAACTTAAAACTTTTTTTGCCATATTTGATACTTTCCTTTTTTCAAAAAAAAAAAAACCATTGGGATTAAGGTTCAGTAACCCTTGGATAAGAGAGGTAACTCTTCACTGGAAAGAATGATATTCCCCCAATCAATGGCAAATTAAAATACAATTCTATTAAATTTTGCAAAAAGAAATGGAGATTTTTTTTCTTCACATTTTAATTTGATCTGGGTTTCTTTTAGAATGTCATTCTCATCAAAGTAAAATGCTGTAGGAGTGAAAGCTAAATTATATAATTATTTCTTCGTGTCAGTTTAATATAGCATTAAAAAAATAAACATTACAAGAAATTGTCAATTTTATCAGATGTAGAATGTAAATGGAATAACTTAAATGTCACTACTTTTTAATACTGGTAGATACCTTGGTGGATATGAATTATGATTTATTTTTTTAATGATGTTTGTGAACTTTTTTGTAGTTGGTGCTCCAATAGAAGTCGAAAAGGATGAGGATCCATCTCAGGAGAAAATTGATGCACTCCATAAAAAGTACTTAGAGGAATTAGAAAAACTATTTGAAACTCATAAATTAAAATACGGTGTTCCCGAAGATAAGCACTTACATTTTATAGAGTAAATTCTACAATGACCCTGTTCGGGACAACTAGAAATAATTTAATAATATACTGCTGGAACTATAAATTGTAAATTTTGCTGACGATTTTTCAGCCACAAGCATATTGAATACGTAAGCATCCATGTTTGTATATTTACTCAAAATGTGTTATTGATGTATAAAATATATGTGAGGTGGTATTGTTATAAAATGTATGTAATAAAGCTTAGAAATATCTATTTTCATACGCATTGTTTATATTTTGGATAATAAAATTGTTATTGGTTTCCTGTTTTTATTTACATTAGTTTTACTATCATTATGAACAACCCCGTACCTCACCAGTTATACATTAACTTTGTAAGGATAATCAGTCCATCCTTCGTGAAGTTTCAAAGCACAAACTATAATATTATTTTAAAAATGCATTATAATCCAAGTACTTTCCAACAATACTTCTATTTATACTATCACACCAATTTACTTGCCCTAAGGATTCCAGAAAGAACTATAAGTTGTGTCATCCTCTCAAAGACAACCGTTGTATTTGTAAAAGGTGAAAATAACGAGCTTCCATCAATCTCGAAAAATCTTCATCAATACAAATCGATGGATGGGAAAAGGGAACCCCCAAAATCCCAGAGGTGGGATCAGAAACCTAGGAGAAGCAAGTATCCCATGTTGTCCCGTCACACTCGCCGTATAGGTCCTATCTTTTGATCAAGTAGATAACTTTCCAGAGGTATCGACGTCCAACTTGCCCTTCATTTTTCATATTTTGTTTCTGTAATGATGACTTTCACTAAAAGTTCGAATGTACTGAGATGTATTTTGTAAAAGTATATGGATTTTTTAAAAAGAATTTCTCTGGATAAATATTCTTTTTTAAGTATTTGTTATCAAGTGATACCTTCTATCTGTTAATCAATGATCTATTTATATACTGTAAAAGTTTTAACTTATATACCATATAGTTTTGGAGGTATTGTACAAATAAATTTTTGGGCATGTTGCCCTTTGGCGAAACCTTAAACAGACTTTATAAATTTTGGTCAGTCATTTCGATGTAATAGTCATAACTAATTATCCAAAATACCTGTCATACTGATATGCCAAATCAAAATTATAACAGAATATAAACTTTTTTCTTTTAAAAGTGTATTTATTAATAGAAAAAAAAAGAAAGTTTATCAATATACAAATTTTATACATAAATTTTTCACACAATATTTTGAGGAAAATAATCATACAGAAAGAACGTTAAAAATGTGTAAAATAATAAAGCAAACACAAATAAATATTACTGTAGAAGTCGGAAGCAATCACCTGAGTAGATAATACTAGTACATAGAAATAGAAAATATAATTTAAAAAAAAATATCTTACAGTCATCATGTTTTAGATACATTATAAAAATAGATGAAGTACATATATAAATCTTTAAGATCTAAGTAGAAAAAATAAATGCCCTATAAAAGCCGCGTACAAAAACACAGTACTTCACCTTACACACGAATTTGACAGTGTCCTGAATAAGGATTACATACAGCTGAATCCAAAGAGGTAAAAACAAATACCTTAGAATGTAGTTGCAACGCACATTAATAAGAAAAATACAATGTATTTGAATAAATATAAAAGTTGTATACGTACAAGTATGTGTGTATATATCATGTAAAAAAATTAAAGAACACTTTGATTGAGAAACAGTATCACAGAACTATAGATTTTAAAATTAAAATTGCACTCCGACAAAACAAATCTGTCATCGTCAAAAGTTAGAGTATAATTATCGCGCAAAGTATGAAAGTTAATAATTTGATTAAAAAGAAAAAAAAAATCTGATTTAAGAGGATTGGGGAATGGATACTAAAGGCTCACATGATCAGCACTGTTTTTTAACATATCAGTTCGAAACCTCTCTTAACGGGGAAAAAAATATAAATGCTTGTTGAGTATTCAAAAATAACACGTTTGAAATATGCTTCAAAATGACAAAAAAAAAATTAAGTACCTTTAAAAAAAATACAACTAAATACTGAATATTAGAACAGGTGTCCAAGTCCATGTGAGAATCCTTTGACCTCCATTACAGTATATTACATCCCCAGCAGCACTGGTCGGGGTACTCCGGGGCGTAGACCCGGCTCTCCAGTCCGTAGACAAAGTAATTCACGCCCTTCTCTTTGTACTGACAGAAGCATTGGGTCACTGGTATCATACGGATTATGTGATGCTGAAATTAGGTAAAGTATAACTATATGTCTTAAAAGAAAGAGGAATGCGATGGGGTTTTTGATGGGGTTTTTGGGATTTAAAAGGAAATAAAATTTTTTAAAAAAATTCGCGTTAGAAATTTTTTTTGGTAAAAGTTTAGTGTTACAAAGAACTAATACGCGTTTAATCGCAAAAAAAAACTACTTTTATTCGAGAAAGTTATGGTTTACGATGAAAAGTTACGCTTTTAGTCGAGAAAGTGTCGCATTATAACGCAAAATACCTCATAATAAACGCAAAAATTTTAAGCAAGGAACACAATCAAGTTTACTACATTTATTCAAACAAGACGCCCAGGTGCCACATCGCTCACCTGAGCAAATTGACTGGGAAAAAGCACAAATCAGATCAGAACTGAAAAGTTTACTGAAGGGGGGGGGGGTGGGGGGTGAATTTAATACTACTTGAGAATGCCTTCATATTAATACAGCATATTGCTTTGCTGTTCTTGATACAAAAGATTTGTTAAAAATATTTTCTTCCTATATGTAACTTCATAAAAATTTGAATTTGATTCCCTTTGTTTCCCTCCCTACCGCAAAGGGCCATGATTTGAATAAATTTAAATCAGGATTTGAACAAACTTAATTCTACACTACACAAAAATGCTTTCATATAAATACTAGTATCACTAATCATGGCTTTGCTTTTCTTGGGAAGATTTTTTAAAATATATTTTAAGGTTAAAAAAGGATCCCCCATTGTGACCCCACCCTATCCCTGGGGGTTATAATTTGAACAAACTAGAATCTACACTACCTGAGATTGATTCCATATAAATATCACTTATCATGGCTTTGAAGTACTTGAGAAGACAATTTTTAAAGATTTCCCTATCTAGTCCTGTGTAAAACTTTGATCAGCCATTTTGGCTCCACCCTACCCCAAGGGGTCATGATTTGAACAAACTTGAATCTACACTACCTGAGGATGCTCCCACATGAGTTTCATCTTTCCTGGCCCAGTGGTTCTTGAGAAGAAGATTTTTAAAGATTTTTCCTATATGCTCCTATGCAAAAATTCAATCAGCCTTTGTGGCCCCACCCTACCCCAGGGGGTCATGATTTGAACAAACTTGAATCTACACTACCTGAGGATGCTTCCACATGAGTTTCATCTTTCGTGGCCCAGTGGTTCTTGAGAAGAAGATTTTTAAAGATTTTCCCTGTATACTCCTATGTAAAACTCTGATCTGCCATTGTGGTCCCGCCCTACCCCCAGGGGTCATGATTTGAACAAATTTGAATCTACACCACCTGAAGATGCTTCCACAAGAGTTTCATCTTTCCTGGCCCGGTTGAAATTGGCCCAGTGGTTCTTGAGAAGAAGATGAAAATGTGAAAAGTTTATGACAACAACGACAACTACTACAACTACACTCTAAAAAAAGTTTTACTTGTTGTTTTTAAAATAAGATATTAGATTAAGAAAAACTAGTAATTATTAGTCTTCGAAACACTGATGCCCCCCCCCCCCCCCCCGTATGGCAACATCGCAAAGGTTAAACTTTACTTATAAATGCAAATTCAATATATTGGTATTTCTTGATATCTCAAAGGTCGATGGTCAATGTTATTGGTATCTAATAAAAGGTCCTGCCACAAAAAATACATATCTGAAATATGAAAGCACTAGCCCCAACCCTTCAGAAGTTATGGTCAAGGTCACCAATTTTGAAATGTAGATCAAACTCCAAGGTCAAGGACAAAGGGTCAGATTTGGTGGTACCCAAAGAAATGTCTTGTCACAGGGATGAAGTATGTAAAGTATGAATGCACTAACCCTAACACTTTTAAAGTTAAAGTCAAGGTTTGCTTTTTTAAAAGTGGGTCAAACTCCAAGGTCAATGTCAAAGGGTCAAAGTTCTTGGTATCCAATGACTGGTCTTTCCACAGGAATTACATATATTATAAGTATGAAAGCCCTATCCCTTATCCTTCAAAAAGACAGACAGACAGACAGACAGACAGACAGACAGACAGACAGACAGACAGACAGACAGACGGACACGACAAAAACTATATACCCCGAAACTTCGTTTACGGGGGCAAAAAAATATTAGTTATATAGTAAATAGTGGTAAAATGTAAGTAAAGACCAAGTAATGTTATTACTTATATAAACAAATTTAAGTAAATATAAATTACTAAGTAAAACTTTTTAGTGTGTAAGTAAAACAATTCTTTAAAATACAAAAATTAAGTAAAACATTTGAATTTAGTAATTGACATATATTTCAGTAATTGATTTAAAATTCTAAGTAAATGCTTATTAATTATCTTTTACTATCTTTGTTATTTCAAGTAAAATATGACTACTAAGTAAAACTTTTTTAAGAGTGTACGACGACGACGACAGACAAATTTTGATCAGAAAAGCTCACTTGAGCCTTAGGCTCAGGTGAGCTAAAAATTGTTTTATCACAAAATCTTTGGACATTGTGTTCACGGTATTTTACCTGCATGTGGATCCTACGATTAGGAAACTGATGACTAGCAATCAGTTTCCCCGAAGCCTCGTTTATTTCCCCCACTGGAAACCTAGATATTGGCATCACCTAAATAAGTACAAGTGAAAATGATGATTTGTGGGGTATTGTGAAAAAAAAGAAATGGCATCAATAAAAATTGTAAACAAAGTCATTCATTTATGTTTTCTCATATCATTAAGTGACCAAGCATCCCCTTCCCTTCACCCCCCCCCCAAAAAAAAATCTACAGAAAGGAAAAAATAATTAAACCACTGTCATAACGTACTCTTATTTGTGTGTCCTCAAATCCCATAGTGCCGGCGGCTTGTGAGACCAGGTGGTCGGGTAATTCTGTCTTCTCTACGACGTGCTCTCCAATGTTATTCACCCTGGAATGGACATTGGGGAAATTCTTCATGATTTATTTTGATAATTTAATTTTGTAAAATTAACTCAGTTCAAGTTATCATATATAGATCTTATGTAATAACAGTTTCTTCTTGGTGAATGAAGCATTTATATATTTCTAATCGGCTAAACCTAAGATGGCGAGTAAGCAGTTCCATTTTCCGCGATCCGACACTGTTTTTACACGAAAAAAAAAATGCCGCTTTTTCATGACACAGTTATGCTGCATGTCATCAATTACATTTTTAGCTTTTCAGCTGATACAAAAAAAATACAAACTATATATGGATAAAATTTTTATATTTATATTACAAAATAACTAGAATTTCAATATTACATACATTGGGTCGGAAGCAAATTGAAAATATACCTAGAAAAACCTGACAAGCAAAAAAAAAAAAAAAAAGAAAAAAAAAAAAGGGAATTTCAATCATGCACATACCAGTTGACTGTAAGCTTGATGAACCATTTTAACCGACAGTGACTTTTACACGTGGGACAGGTCACTCGACCGTCTCCGCCACATCGCGGGCATCTATAAATAGTAACAAGTTATTTTATTGTAATACACCAGTATTGTAATAAACATATTACATAAAATATTGCATAAAAATCAATTATTTTACATGTAAATAGCTTTCAATTTAAATGTATACAGAATAAATACAGTGATAGAATTTCTTAAAAATAAGATAAATGTTTGCAAAGTTAGAGAAAAATTAGGGATAAATTCAAATAAAGACCTTCTTTTCCCTCCATGACACATCGAGCATGACACGACGCGATGTTCTCCATTACGATACACCCGCCTCCTTCCCGAGCCGTGACAAGTCCCGCATTTCACCTGTTCAAGGTGTAAAAACACTTCAAAAACTTGTTATGTATATATAAACATCATCTTCAAAACAGATTTTTTTTTATAATTCGTGATTTAACACTGATTCATTTCTTTAGGATTCATAATAAACTTTTGCTCTTGGAAAGTAAAAATAGGAAATGAGCTAGTACATGTATATTGTTTGAAATTCTCAGAAGAGAAACAAACCTTTCCTCTGCCCATACATTTACCACATCTCACATATCCCCTCGCATTACACTTATGACAATCCTGAATTAAAAAAATATAAACTTTAACCTTTCTCTCTTTTGCCCAGAGCGATGGAATTTTTAATTAATTTCTTCGACTAGCTGCAGACTTCTAGCTTACTGGTATGTAGAATGGGATGAAATACTATACAAAATTTTCAGACCATTGAGCTATGGACCTACAGCTTGTCATCAACCTGATGCTAAAACTTGAATTTTCGTTTCATTTTCCAAATGTTCTAGGTTTATAATTGAATCGGATAAATTTCTCAATAATTTCAGATTAAACATGGATATTTTTTCTTTTAATTTCCAAACATGGTGTGCTCTTTTAATAACTATCCACACAAAAAATACGATCGCTGGGAAGATTTTTCACTGAATATAATTTTATCATCCGAATTGCAATATAGATTTTTATCATCACAATTGTTAGAAGAAATGTAATTCATCGGAAATGAATTTGAAAATTAATATAATAGGAGATGATACCAATGATAAGTGTATATGTAACTGACCTTTACATAGGCGGTGAAAGGAACCTCGTGGTGCTGTGTTTCATTCACGAAATATTTACTGAACGAAGCTGGAATATCCCAGGGGCCCGGGGCAGGACCGTTTTGAGGTCCATTAACAGGCTGACCTGTTAAAATCGTCACAGATTTGTACATTGCAAAACTCAATTTCACTGACACTAAAACTTCAAATAAGTGTGTGGTGCTACCTACTATGATTTTTTGCAAATGATTTCTTGAAAAAATAATTTTAAAATACAAAATTGGAATTTTTCTCCAAAAGGGACATAAGTCAAAAAAATACCCAAAACAGAATTTACTTCGTCCTGCCAAAATTTTGTGTGAATAATAATAACATAGTGTTATTATTATACGTATTGTATTTTTTATTTAATGAAAACCGATAGGAATTTGACCAAGATAGTCATCTGATAAATCTGTATACTAAATTTCACAGTATGTGCAACAGTTGTGAAGAAAATGAACGGAAACTGCAAATAATTCTACTCAAAACAGAACTTCTTCTGTAAATGTTTCCAGAACAAATAATTGAAATTTTTGTAAGTCCAAGGGGCATAACTCTGTCAAAAATGGCGCGATTGTACCCAAAAAAAATATAATGATTTTTTAAAAACAAATATGTTACGGTTGCAAAGAAAATTCGGAAACTGCAAATAATAAAAATTTTTGTTGCTTTATTTGCAGCTAAATTTCCAGGAATAAATGGTTAACTATTTGCAGCTTATTTCCAGGAATAAATGGTTAACTGTTTGTATAAGCGATTTAAACTTATTTCTTTTTTTACCCAGGAATAAATGGTTAACTGTTTGTATAAGCGATTTAAACTTTTTTTTACTAGATATGCCACGGTCAAAGAACTACTAGAAGTTGAAATAAATTTAGTTTATCTAAAAAATTCTAAACAAAGGATCAAAGTCATCGATTACTGCGTCTTTGTGCTTATTATATAGTTTCCCATCCTTCCACTTCCATTTGTCATCAAGCTATCGCCCTTTAGCAACATCAACTCAAACGTCCATGACGTTATATTGCATACAGTCGTTTGGCCAGTTCCGAATAATTAGTAATTTAAGGACTGATAATTAATAAATTCAACGGTGTAAAAATAAATTGATTTCTATGGTAAGAAGGCTTATTCATGAGTATTTGAATTATGTGAAGTTTTGATTTTTCGCCCTCAGTTTGGTTTCGTTATCGTACTTGAAACGGTCGACATACTTTTACAATGCAACAAATCTGAATCACAGTGACGCGTAAGTCTGCAGAAAAACCTCTGTAGATGCATAAATTTTTCACATAAAACAACGTTCTAGGTATCAAAAGTAAGTTTGATAGGTACTCTAACATATACTAAAAACTTGTCAAAAATAAATGTTTAGAACACTGGAAGATATCGAAATATTTTCGTGCTCTTATTTTACCAGTTCCGAATACCCATTTTAAACACTATCATAAATTCACTCTTGAAATTGTAAACATGACTTATTTGAAAAACAGGAAGAAGCGGTATATAGTAATGGGATGTTTATCCATTCATCCGTCTGTCCGTCCGTCCGTCCGTCTAGCTGTACGTCCGTCCGTATGATATACGTATCCATTTCTTATCCGCAACCCCTCTTCTACCACTGAATGAAGTTTAATGAGGCTTCACAGAATTTAATGAGTCTTTCACAGAATCTTTGTTTAACAGTGCCAAAGTGCACCTATTTTATTTTTGGATCTGGTACATAATTTGGGCTCCCTGAGAAAAACATAGATACTGCCATTCTCTGTAATATTGAAAGGTATATCCATCTCTTGTCCGCAATTCCTCCTATACCACTGAATAAGATTTAACGATACTTTCACATATTCTTTATTGCATTGTGACATTGTAACCTATTATTTTACTTTTTGATCTGACATTTATTTCGGGACTCTCAGAGTAAAACATGGACTTTGTCTTAAATAATCATAAAGGAGGCGTGGGGTATCATTGAAATAAGCCCAGTGCCCACAGTACCTCTAGTTTCTCTTCAACCTTTGGAAATACAAATAATTTATTGGTAAGCAATTAATTTAACTCTTCTTAGGCATGCCAATGGATAACGTCTGGGACGTATATTTTTTTTATTTACAAATTGGATAAAATCTCGTTAACTGGTAAAATCAAATGGTAACGTGCGAAATAATTTTTTTTGAGGGAACAACTTTTATGAAAAAAATATTAAATTACCTTGACAAAACACTTAGTATATATATTTGTAGCACAGTATCGGTTTTTTTGCAACTGGCCAAATAACTGTACGATATTTTTGTGGAACATAAACCCTGTTTTTGTTCCATGACGTCTAAATAACTTAACTTTTTGATCAAATATAATTAAACTCACGTGATAAGAGGTAGACGACTGCAGTTCCTTGAATGTCAGTTTTTCCGCGGCACCCTTTCCCCAGCAACACTGTTGTGAAACATGTTCTAGTAAAGCTTGTCTCGCAGTCTCTTCGGAAATGACAGGCGCACTTTTAAACGAATGGGAAATGTGATCAATTCAAAAAGATACAATTTGGGGGGGGGGGGACTATACACATATGATTAATTTTTCTATTTGGTATATTTATATATTTTCTGGCCTTGAGTATTATTTCAAAACTCATACAATTATATAAATTGTGCTTGTTCAATTTAACCCATGTAATTTCCTCTTATTTTAGAGAGTGCTTGATTGGAATTTCCAGTTAAATATTACTCCACTGAAAATCGTTCCCTTGAGGAATCTGGCATTATAACAACGCATACTAGTATTGGAAAATTCTCTAGGAAGCGAATAATAGAGTACAACCCTGCCTAAATGTTGTTGAATCACAATAGTTGATAACAGTTTGAGCTATATGCTTTTAATCATTAATGATTTTAAATGTATTCGTTATATTATCTTCAGTGTACATCCATTTTCATCAAAACCGTGTAAGGAATATGGTCTCTATACCTCATGAAATCCGGCTGTTTCCAGTCCTTAGGGGGGGCATAGTCCGTGGGTGGAGGAGGGAGTAGGGCTGTTATTCAGGAAAATTCAATACGTTAATAACTGCGACAGAACAATTAATTCAAGTGTTCAATATTTCATACATTATCTTGGCAATAAAATCATACATATCTGTTTGAATAATTTAATATATATCTTTCAATTAGAAAATATATTGATTGCTCGCAATAAATTCTGTGTTCAATTTTATTTCTCTTACACTGGTCGAGTCGCACATTGTTGTATCCAGGTACTGTTGCAAAATCAATCTTTGGTTTGACGTCACTTCCCTCCGCATTGAGGTCCTCGCAGACGACTAAAAAATGGACATTGTCATATATCAAAAAGAAATAAATTCAGGAATAAATTTTCATTTGAAGGAGCTTTAGTTTTTTTCTCTTACAATACATTTCATTTTACGAAATTAAAACCGCTCTAGGAAATTATAAATTGCATTTATAAAAACAGTATTTTTAAATGATTATTTTAAAGAATTCAGTCACTTCTCACTTTTCAAAAATATGTATTGTTGCATGATTGAATTAATATGAACTTGTAAATCAACTTGCTATTTATAATATTTCATTACACTCTATTTTTTGGTCAATACTAGTAATACACGTACATGTATTTATTAATATGCAATGTGGAGAATTCTACATGATTACAAATCACTTTGTATACAAAATATAGTTTCCATGCACGTACCTGGTTCACTTTCATCCACTTGATCTTCATCTCCCGCAGGACTATAAAAAACAGGATTTTTAAACGGCTTAGTCCCTTCATTTTAGACTTATAACACGTATAATAATAGTAAATGAGAACACAAAGTCCTCCGATCCGGGGTGCGTTCTGTGCAATCACACCCAATCAAAAAAGTTGAAAATAAAATGTTTCTCTATATAATTTCGTTTATTTGAAAAGTGATGAAATAACTTAAAGAATACAATATAACCCATCGAAACGGTACCCATTTATTTATTTATTTTAATCTGGTTCTGAGGGTCGAAGTTAGAGCAGCCCCCCCACCCCCTTCTCAGCACCCCCCTTTTCAGAAACCTGGCAACGGCTTCGATATTCGCTGTGAAATCTTAATAGCAGTTATGAATTGTTGGTAAAGTCGGTCTTAAATAAAACGATGTCGCAATAAATTAAAATACAAACTATAAAAAAATACTTATTAGTAAAATCTGCGAATTCTATACAATATAGTGTCATTGAAAAACGGATGAATTCAAAATGTGCATATCACGTAACGCCCCTATTCCCCTCCCCGTCGCCTTTTCTTCCTCTAGTAAATAGAGCATAGATCTAGGAATTAATGTATTCGTCATGCTCTATTTACTATTAAAAATGAAGTACATGTATTTTAGTTACTAACAAATATACCATTTTAAGGCATTTTCAATCCTTTTTATCACGAAAGTATTATTAAAAATTTAAAATAAACCTTCAGGAAGATGTAATAAACGGTACTTACCCAACACTTGTCATGGTGAAGGTGAATTGAATTTCTTAATTTTCTTTGATGTTTAAATTGCTACAGTCATGTAGGTTTTTTCCGTCCACTCTCCAACTTGGACCGAATATAAGTAAAGAATGTACATTTAAAATCCATGCATGTTGGTTTAAATAACAATGTATATATATGAAGTCGTAATTTCGAAATCAATGGATATTTAACGGTAGTGTATAAGTGCCACGAAATATTTTGAATCATTAAAGTTGGTAATTCGAATTTCAATATTGGCTTTTACAACTTTAAAGTTGGCTTTTCTAACTTTAATTTTGACTTTTACAACTTTTTACAGCATCATGCCTTTGTAGTGGAACTTGTGTTGCCATTTAATACATGTAATTACAATTGAAAGATATAATTTAATTATAAATTTGTTACGAAAGAAGGAATAATTTCAATGTGTAACAGTTCTAGAGAGGAATGGGGTGTGTGCTGAATTGAAACAGATAAAAGGAACTCACCGATTTATTTCAATGTACTAGTATTTATTTTGCATTATTAAAATTTATCCATATCTCTCTATGGCCCCATTCACCTTTCTTAAAGTGTCCCCTCCTTTTGACCTCTTCCCCTAGATTGTGAAGATTAACTGCTATAACCAATCTTTGTCAGTGTGTTAAATTTACATTAATAAAATTAGTAATAATTAAAACAAAGAAAAAAAACTAAGACAATGGGCTACAAGAGCTCAAGTAAATTTGAAAAAGTCAAGATTAAAGTTGAAAAAGCCAAGATAAAAGTTGAAAAGGCATGCAAGATTAAAAATGGAGTTACCAACTTTAAGTTGGAAAAGCCAAGATGAAAGTTGGAATTACCAACTTTATGTTGGAAAAGCCAATATTAAAGTTGGAATTACCAACTTTTAAGTTTGAATTATCGACTTAAAAAATATAACGTGGCACTCATATGCTTCCGTAATACCAGATATTGAATCATTGATCATGAACTTTAATGCTTAATCAAAACTTAATGGTTCAGTTACAAAGATTATCCACTTGGTACATGTAGGTGGCCAATCAGGACACATACTTATATAACTACTATAATCAAGAAAAGACACTGCTATAAGAATTATAAATTTTGTTTCTATACGCTCATCTTGAATATGTATGTACATGTATATATCTACGCCCCATTTATACATGTTGATTTAAATAACTATTTTCGGAGGGGGGGGGTTAAATGAATTCCAATACCGCATTTCCTAAACCAAGAAAATACCCCCCCCCAAAAAAAAAAAAAAAAAAAAAAAAATTGTCCCTTCGTATTTACAGCATATAATTTTATGAACGCGGGATTTTCCAAAGTTCCTTGAAGTTCCTTATCCTATGAAATTTTAAAAGTCACACAAATGCAGTGGACTGTAGAATAATGGCATAAAAAAGTTGGAAAAATTCAAATCCTTAATTATCGTTAGTAATACTTACCTGTGATCGATCAACGTTACTACTCTAGGAATGTACTTGCTTCTTGACCTCTTTGAATAGCACTAGTTAGTTAGGATGAATAGGTGAAAGAACTGCGTGAGAAATAATTAATCTAGGAACACATTTATCAATAGGATGTGTTAACGGTGATTATAAACTATACTCTACACACGCTATACACAGCTGCTGCTGCTGTACATGTATTAAAGCTGAATGAGGTGAAACCACGGCATCACCTCTCGATATCCTTTTTCTTCAAATCAATAAATTAAAGCCCCATACTGAGAAAAATCAATCTCATTATTATTTATAATGCTGTTAATTAAAAAAAAAAACAAATGTCAAAGATATTCACTTTTTAAAAAAAAAAATTGCCTAACTGAAGCAATCAATATCTATATAGTACGTATTATAGGGAAGAACGACATTTCGCTCCATTGCAAAACTCCTGTCATACCACTAATATTAAAAAAAAAAACTAAGACACTATGGTAGCTTATGGCAAAGATAAGCCTCCAAGGCCAATGTCAAGAGATCGATCAAAATATTGTTGCAACCCAAAACTAAAGAACTTGCTGTCGACTATTTGCTTACAATTTATTACAAACACATTTTTCGTACGAGGAGTCGTTTTGGTATTTACCAAATACTAGTAAGTGCATCCTCGCAAGCCACGATGTAGTACATGTAAGTGATGTCACCTTTTCAATTGGTGATATCACTCATCCGAATGTTGATTCGCCTATTCCGTTGTAGAAGAGGTGATATTACCTGTTTGATTTGAATTAGTGACATATAACCCATGAGTGCAGTTGATATCAGCTTTTTGAAAAGCTCGGTTATATCATCTATTTGAATAGGTGATATATGACCTGATATATTGATCTGAATCGGTGATATCACTAACTTAAATCATATAATATTAGTTATATCAATAGTTCGAACTTGATATCACCTAATGAGATTCAGTCAATTAAATATATGATCACATTTTCATTTTAAATAGTGATATAATTTTTTAATATCTCCCAAGAATATTCATGTACTGCGTAGATTTACAAGTACTCTTTTCAGGCACAAAAAATTTCAATCTCCTAGTACAATATAGTAATTATACAATAGAGAGAAAATATCAATAAATGTAGTAAAACTGACTGTAAATAAAAGAAAAAGATTCCGGATCGAGTTCCTTGTTGACAAAATTTGTGTATAATCTTCGGATAATAAAATGAACAATATTAACGAAATTTACAATTCTATCTCAACATTTCCTATCTATTTATAGTAATATCCTGCTATATATTACCTGTATATGGAGTTTATGTCTCCCAACTTATTCGACACTCAAGAGCATGTTCCGAGTATTACCTGCATATGGAGTTTACGTCTCCCAACTTATTCGACACTCAAGAGCATGTTCCGAGTACGATCAGTTGCTCCTACTCAAGAGTATTGAGAATTTTTTGTCAAGTATATTTTTTAGACTCTACACACTTTGCTCAATGAAAAATCAAAACGCAAAAATGGGGGTCAGTGCGCTTCTTTTAACACTGCGGATCAATCATGACCTTTTGTACTGTAATTACGTCAACACACATATATAATTTTGAATAATTTTTCATTTAGGTCTAATATTGTTTATCCAAATGAATTATGCGAACAAAAACAGTCTTTTTTTCATCTTGAATTGTCGCATTAAAATTTGTGACAATAAAAATACTACCTGTAGTAGTTTCAAATTACTTTACGTGGTCAATTATTTGACCTTTCTGCACTCAAAATATGTTCTAATTTTTCTGGAGTTAAAATTTCAAAAAGCAATAATATCATTTGAAAGTAATGACATTTTTCTGAATTTAAGCAGAAAGGTTAATATTATCTTGTATATTCAGAAAATCAAATAAAAAGTGGGGGTCTGAGATGTTAGTTTTTAGATATTACTGAAAAAGTGTTAAATTTGGCTATTTTTTCCATGGACTTTCACAATATATTTGATATACACTCTGTATTTGCCAAATATGATGATAGAATTTATGAGATTGAATTTAATATACGTGTATATTTTAGGACCAACATAGAACATTTGACTGCATAGAATTATTCTATATATGTGTACAGGTTGCATGAAAAAAAAATCGGAATCCATTAAACTTAATAACACTGAATACTACAGAAAGAGAAAAATTGATCTTTTCCTTCTAAAAACCTTCCGTCACAAATATAGTTCCTCGCTAAATTTTATCGCTTTGGAATTTAATCATGGGGTTTTGAATATAGTTTAATTAAACATTATATACTATATTATAAACTCATTGTAAGATCTTAAATATTATTTACAATTTTTGAAGTAGAGGTCAAGACAAAAATCTGCTCAAAAACTAAGGAGCGAACTTTAAATCAAGACAGGTACCGACAGATAAGTTGATGTTACAAGGATTTCGACGATCTTGTTTAAAGTCAGTATATTTCGTAAATTTTATGGTCCGCGTTATTATGACCTTGATAGCAAATATCATATGGGTCGTATTTTAGGCCAAAAGTAACACACTGGATTGTCTACAGGTTTTTTCCCCGTCATCATAAGGAGCACAATGCGTGTGTGAACGGGGGATCCTCCCTCCTCCATGCATGGCACATGAGCACTGATTCCACCTCTGATATTTTTAAGGTCCATGTTTGCTCTGCTCCTAATTTGTATTGTTTAATGGACTTTTGAGCTTGAACGCTGTTCGTTATTTCCAAATATATTTCATTTTCTCTCGAATTCGGGCGATTTTTTTTTTTATTTTTTGCTTGTTAACTTTTTTTTGAACAGGTACCAGACGGTAGGCAATTTTTTTCTGGCTGCCCCCCCCCCCCCCTTTTGCAAAAACGATGCTACGTCACTGATTTCACTGAGTAGTGTTTTGAATTTCTATTATAACACTAATTTGTTTTCTTCAAAGCCGATTTTGATAATAGACTATTTCAAAAAGTCTTCAACATAATATGTTTTTATAAAACGTCTGCTCATTTATGATTGCTGGATTTTGTATTAGAGTTAGCTCCCTTAGACATTTAGCATAAAAATTTAGTACCAATATCGGGGAAATATTTTTATACATGTAGCCATATCATTTAAAACCAAAACTAAAAAATCATCAGTTTGATTCATAAGAAAAATACGTTTAAATATATAGTATCATTTATCAAAATTTATGCCCAAATCGTGCCACTTTCAAGCTTTCAGTGACTCAGCGTAGTGATATACGATGTGTCATACAGGGACTATTTTATCAAAATGGAAGTCAACGATAAGTTTTCCCGAAAGAAGTTTAAAATGTATGATTTGGAGGATTCCTAAACGCTACAATGTACATGAAAGGGCTTTCTAATGAGTTTTAATTACAAAATCTTTCTGTGGTTGATTTAATAGCGAACAAGTGTTGCAGTTTTTCTCGGGCATTGTCTTTTTGTTTTTGTTTTGCATAGACGGAAGTGGAACACTGAATTATTCCAAATTCCTTTCAATTTAAGCATCGGTGAATTCTGGAGATGATAAATGAGATAAAGTTTTACCTGTCCAGCCAGTGGAGTTTATACATGTTGCAGGTATTGAACAAAGCTCTTCATTATTTACTTACATATACATCGTCCGAAATTCCTCAACCAACACGGTCTAGGTTGACTACACAAAATGTATCAGTGCGTCATTGCATTGTTAGGAAAATTAAATGTTGAGATGTATCTAAATAAATTGAAGGTCTTTCTAGAGAACTGGAGAGTCAACAATATGTAAGAGTATGACAAATGACAATTTTGTATGTAATCAGTTGATAAAGTCAGGTTACACAGTTCATTCAGTCACTATGCCATGCTTTTGACCCATTGTTGCTTACTTGTGAGCTCTGTTTATAGAGTTTAAGTTGCCTATGTTGGTCAAACAACAATAAATCGTATGTGTACTTGCTTTAGTATATTGGCAAATTTTGGTGATTTTGGAGAATATAAACATTAAACAAAGCTGCATTGAAAATAACAACTGCTGTAATTTAAAGATATCTTTGTTGAGCTTGTATTATCTTTCACTCGAAAAATTACTCCAAATTTACATTGAAAACTCAAAATTGTCTGTAGTACATCCATAAGGCAGAATTACCTGCCTAAGTATGTTTATTTCACTACATTGCTATATGTATTACACAAAAATATGTTAAGGACATACGCAAGGTACCTTACCTACTGATAATTTTTCAAGATATTCTAAATTTAAACTTATAATACCATTACATGTTCTTAGACAAAAAATCAGCATGCGTTACCAGGGGTTTTGAAAAGATATCAGATTGTGAAAATTTTTGCATTATTCAAAGAAAAATGTACAAAAATTACAAAACATAAATTCAAGATTTTTTTTCATCAAAAATTGTTTTAGAAGAGTTGTACAGAACTAGGGCTGTCACGGGTACCCGAAATGACCCGGAACCGCGGAACAATTCATACGGTTCTGTTTTTCCGGAATTCGGTTCGGTTCCGATTTGTACAGTAGTGTAGGTTTTACTATGAAAATGGCATCAAAAATGAGAGATTTGTTAATACATTGCCATTATAAGGTGATTTAAATAATATGGTACAATTGTTGTCTAGTCAGGAAGCTACTTTAAACTAGTTAAAAGGTTGCTATTTTTCGAAGATTAAATGAAAATATTCTTTTTGTTGTTGAAAATAATACAAATCATGAGCTTTTATTCCATTAACTACCCGAACTTGAAATCTTGCGAAACCGAACCTAAAAAAATTATGTTTGGAAATGATTTTTAGACCCGAGGATATATTTTAAATACCGTGACAGCCTAAATATGAAATTTTTGAAACCATATATAGACATTAAAGGTATTGTAACACATGTCGTTGAAACATAAATTTAGTGGAACTCTTCTAAAAGTGAATTTGGAAGAACTCAATAAAGTTCAAACTACTATATTATTTTCTTGCTTTAAAATTTTGTCTGTATATAGAAACTACGAATCATCAGTATGATCAGTGGTAAAATTTTAATTTGCTGCACTTGCAAGAGATTTTTTCTGGTATATATGCAAGTGTATTAAAATAAAAATCAAATATTTGTAAGGTATATTGAAGCATCATGATTTAAAGACACAGACATTATGATTTTTTTGTATCCATTTGTATTGCTTACAGTATGACCATTTTATATGATCATGTTGATGGGTGAACATGAAGATATTGTTCGGTTATAATCAGAGTATTTCCTCATTGAGTTTTAGAAAATCCAAATATTAGTCATATGTATTATCTATATTTTTTAAACTCGGAAAGTTACTAGATACAAGTCATACCACACAAAATATGTATAATCTGAAGGTAAAGGCAATGTATGTATCATATCGGTGATAAGAGCTGGGATATACTGGGGGTGTTTCATTGATGTATATTGCAATTCACATCCTCCTGATCATTTCAGAAGGTTTATTGAGGGAGATTACATGACCCCATTACATACTAGCATGAACCCCCCTCGCATCAGCCAGGAGGCTGTTAACAAGTGTTTCGGAATCTTTTTTCCTCAATGTATCTAAAGTTTAATTCTAATTTTTGTTCTGTTGAACTTATCAGCAATCTCTTTTTAGAGGGATTGAGTTTCAGCATGTTTTTCAAGGGCTTATCTGAAAAGCACTAAGTCCCGCTAATTCATAGTAAAAATACACTGCTGGGATTGCAATTTCAATGGCTTTGGGAAAAAACCCTGCTGTACACAGTTCAGCTAAGCTTCAGAATGAAGTGTTAAAATTTTCATCTTTATTTCTGTTCCAAATGTTTTAAATTTCTTGGCTTACCTATTTGCCCATAGTCCATTATAGACAGGAAAGCAGTTAGTTACCGGTAAAAGTTTTATAGTTGATGCATTTAATTTAATTCATTCATTTTTATTCATATACATTTCTACAAAAGTTTTGTTCATCATGGACATAACATACTTTTTTAATTCTCAGTTTTCCTCAATCATACTTAACAGCTGTGAAAAGCATTGTTAGATTCAATCACTAAGATCAGGTTCAAGGAAAAGGGAAATTTGAAGAGCATGAGAAATACCAATATATATACAATATATATATACATTTTTGAACAATCAAGGCTATACAGCCTATACCCGAAGCTATCATAATAATGGATGTTGTCATATATGCAAATTTCATTAGTAATTCATCTATTCATGTACTTGTAATAGAAAATGGTGAATAATTTTATAATGATGTGCACTATTTTAATGTTCATTCATCAAATCAAATACTAATTTGAAAGTAAATAACTTTTGTCTTGCTTAATTGCAGAGCTTTAAAAGCCTACTTTTATTTTTTTTCACAGTATAACTTGCAGTATAAATCAATACTTGAGTGTTTGATGTACAAGTAAAATAAATGTTTGAATTCTCTTTTCGCAGGACTGACAAATCAAGACTGACCACTGGTCACCATGGGGGATGAACAAACTGTAGTCGTAGCCAAGTATGACTACAAGGCAGAAAACGGACAGGAATTAGACATCAAGAAACATGAAAAATTAGTGTTACTGGATGATTCTAGAGATTGGTGGAAAGTACAAAATGCAAGGAACAAATCAGGTTACGTTCCTTCTAATTATGTCAAGAGGTCAAATTCTAAGGCTTCCAAACTCTTCAGCAGAGTGAAGAAAAATCTGGCCAGGAGAAACAAAAGTGACACGAAAATAACAGGAACAAGTCCCATAGTGAGTCGAAATGGGGACACAGGAAGTGACGAAAATAGTATTAGTAGTGACATCCAGGCTGTGGATCCACAACCCGCGATTGTGAAATATAATTATACCCCGAAACGGCCTGACGAGATGGAATTATTCAAAGGAGAGCGTGTGATGGTATTGGAGAAATCCATCGATGGGTGGTGGAAGGGCAGAAAGTCGGACAATATAACGTCTGGATGGTTTCCATCCAATTATGTTGATTTGGAACCTTCTGAACAAAATGATTGTACTATGTACTCAACAGCTGCCTCTCTGGAGGATGACTCAGTGGCGGACTACTCTGTCGACCACCATCAAAATGTCCTCGCATTGTATCCGTTCCATCCGGAAAATCCAGAAGAACTCGGATTTGAAAAGGGGGAGCGATTAGTTATTCTCAGTAAACCTCCAGATGATCCAGAGTGGTGGAAGGCCGTGAACAGTCAAGGAGAGATGGGGCTAATACCCAGAAACTATGTACAGACAATCGAGGTGGAGGAGAAACTGGACGTGGAGTGTGAGACCAATGCTAGCTCCACCACGCCCCAATCCCAGTCCACCAGCAGTCTTTCTAATGCCTCAAATCTCAGTGTGGTGGGGGTCACCAGTAGAAAACAGTTCAGAGTGTCGGGACCTTTGGCCGACAAAGAGTGGTATTATGGGAAAATTTCCCGACAAGAGTGTGAGGATATGTTACGGAAGTACGCTGCCGAGGGGGATTTTATTATACGGGACAGTGAATCAGCTGTGAGTATTGAATGGAAATAATAATTCCCATTTGTGTATTCGTGTAATTATGAATGAAGATATGTGTGTGTTTACACATCATCATATGAGTAATTACCTTGTTCATTGCTGTATGTAAATCTACAAGCAGTCATTTGTGTTTATGCCAAGTAATTTACTAATTATATGAAATTCCTTGCATAGTAAATTTGATTATTCATTATTTCTCTGTTTGTAAAATGGTCTGTTTAAATAACAGTAGTCATATTGTAGTAACTGCACAATAGAAGTTTTGTTTCAAGAAGTTTCTTATGAAATTCTCTACTCTTATGTACCTAAGTATTGTAAAGAATTAGAATTTAGAATATGTTAAGTGGATGAAGTATCCATTCAAAACTATGTACCTGCAGTTAATGATGTAGTATACCATATCATATCACACAAAAGATAAAGTCTTAATGATCCATACTTTATTTGACTGATTAACCAAAGCTTTATTAATTTCATTACAGAGTGGAAATTTCACAGTAGTGCTTAAGGCTGTAGAGAGAAACAAACATTTCCGTGTGCAAGTAAACGAGGAAGGATTGTATCAGATTGGACAACAAAAGTTTGCCAACCTTGACGATTTGATTGAACATTACAAGAAACACCCCATCTTCAAGCAGGAGAGTGAAAAACTGTATTTAGTCAAACCATTCACCCTTCCCGCCGAATTTTGACATAGGATGTCTGCTTCTGTTGATTTTCATTCTGTGTAGATTCTGACTTTGTGCACCTGATGGTCACGTCAATGTTCTCTCACTGTATTTGATATGAGATTATGTGGTATCTTATAAGTGTATTTATTTCTGTCCTGGTACTTATTCTGCCTATACATGTTTTTTTTAACATCTTCAGAAGATTGAAACTCATAAAATTTTATGGTTTAGGGACACATTTTTTCAAAGTTTTTCAAACCTAAAATGTTGATTGGAGAATTTTCCTCAATTTAGAGATTAAGGATTTATTAACAGAAACAAGTATTTATCAGAAAGAATTTTTTTTAAGTTGTTGTTAAATGTACTCGATATTTTCTCTGTATGCAAAGTATCTTTACTGATGTTTGAACTTTTTTCACTTTACATCATGTGAATCCAGATTGGTTATTTATCTGAAAATCAGAATTGATGAGTCAGTGAACAGGAAATATGTACTATGTACATAAGGGGTACTATGTATATATTGATTAGGTTTATAGATTCTTTGCTAAGCGTTCTCAGCAATTTTTCATATAAATTAAAACACAGATTTGTGAGATCATTTTTGTCTGTTATGCCAAGTAATGCTTTATAGACATGATAGAGGTTTTAATTTTTCTGAATTGGAAGAGGAAGGTGGTATTTACATGTATAAGTATCATAGATAATAGTAACTAATGTCTTTATAGTAAACTGTGTAAGTTTTTAGGAACAGGGAGAGTGCTTAAGTCAAGCTTCCTGCCACTTTTTAGATTTGTTCCGACTTTTTCAAGGAACATTTAGAAAATCTGTGCAACTGTGTAAACTTTCTTTGAACTGTGTTACACTGGAAGAATTGCAATATTTCCATAGATAAGATACTACCCATATCATGTTTACTGAGGAGTTATGTAAAACTAGTTACACAAAATAATAATGCATTAAACATATGTATAAGTTGTAATTTATTAGTTTACTGAATGATGAATGAGAAAGTGTTTGCAATGTTCATTATTAAGACTATAATATCCCTCCCAAGTTGTAAATGATTTTATTCAGGGTCCCGATAGTCCCCCCTCCCTTATTATATGTAATAACTCTAGTCAGTGTAGACAAAATGATTTCAGATTTTATGATGTACACAGTTTTCACACCCTCTCCACATTATGTATCATGTACATATACATGTATCTTTAAATCTTTCTAGTGAACTTTAGTGCTTATATGAGAATGAAAGAGGCCATTTTTTGCTCAAATTGAGAAAAAAAGAATTAAATATTGTTTATGGTCGTGCTAATAGATTTTCAGCTGTGCATAAGGAGGTTTGTTTTTAGGTACCGTTTGTATCTGTAATATATACTTATTTATTATGATAGAATTAGAAAACTTGGAATTTCTTACAGACTTTTCAAATATGTTGAAATATGGAACATTGAAGATCAGTTTTATAAGGGTATTTTGTTTGTTACATCAGTATTTTTACATAAATGTAATAGATCATGTCCAGCTAGGTTTGAATACCATTATGATAGGCATAAAATAGAAAAGGAAATGGATGATAAGATATAATTTGCCATAAAAATTACATGTATAACATAATTTAGTTGCTTTAAGGCTTTGACTCCTTCACTCTGTGTATAGGTACATTGTATTCAAACAGATCGTCTACAACATGTACAAACTTACTACAAAAAATCACTTGTTCATCTCAGGTGCCGTTTTTCAGCATTTCCTGCATATCTGTACATGTATATGGATGTTTTGGTATAATTATATATCCAAGCTTGAGAAAAACTTAATTTAAATATTTTCAACTTTATCATAAATGCTGTTTACAAACATACTTCTGTTTGTAAAAAGTACAGTGCACAGTTATTTTGCCTGTGTTATTTTCGCCCTTTTGCACTTGCAAGCAATTTTGCCCCATTTTAAATTTGCCCAGTCATAGCTTTGTCAAAGAAATTTTAAATCTGACCAACCATGAAGAGGGCGAAAGGGTCGAAAATAAAACAAGGATGAAAATTACCCTGTACATGTATACAGTATTAATATCATAATCCTGGTCAAAAATGGGCACAGCACTCCACATACATACCAGTTTTCCTTTTATCATTTAAGATATCATTGGAGATCTTAAAGTACAGTGTACCTCAAGTTCATTTTACCTTTTTGTGTGTCACACAGAATAAAGCATATGATCATCCAAAATTCTTTAAATCAGACTACTGACTAGGATGTCTTCCTTTTTTTATTCTTTGCAAAAAAGGAATGACTGATATAAGCAGGTTTTTCTTGATATATAAAAACATTCGCTGATTTCTCTATCTCTTGGTTTCAATTGATATACAGATTTTATAATCGAATATTGTTAAATGTAATACATATACTTTTTTTTTCTTTTTTAAAAAGTTATTAATTAGTAATTGGCAGTATCAAGTTTTTTGTTAGTTTATGGTTATCTTATCGTTTGATTGCAAGATATGAAATTTAAAAAAAGAACAAGAAATTTGTTGAAACGGGTCTGTTTTGCTATTTAATTGGCCGTGTATTTGTTATATTTGTGAGTATATATGCAGTGAAGTTGCTTGGTTGTCTTTTTTACAGAAGTACATAGTGTAAATAATGTGAGAATACATGTCTTTTTATTTGTTTTATGAAGTCATCTGTACTTAAAGTATACAAGGTACAAAGTTTTATTTTAAATAATGTGATATACTAGGACTTGTTTAAGATTTTAATGGTAGTTCCTCTATTTGTTCTCGAAAAATAGGTTGTAGTTTTTATGCACTTCAAAATGGCACAAAGCTCACGTCTTGAGTTATCCCCCTTGTCAAGGAGTATTTCTGATACACCTGTTGTTTTCATGAATGGTTAACATTTGTAAACAGTTGCTGCTTACTCATTCAGTTGTAATTGGGAGTTGTGCATTTATCTTTTTAGGTTTTAACAAGGACATTTTGTATAACTGCATGACAACTGAATAAATTAAGATATAGAGCATTGTTTGTGTTTCTATTTTGTGTTAAACTTTGACTCAAGGAGTGCTCATGGCAAGGAATGATTTATAAGCATTTAATATACTGTGTTGTATTCACAGGTGAAGGAATATAAATCAAGAAATAGCAACACAGTTGAATAGGAACATGGACTTCCGGGCTCATTGTCTGGCCAATGACAACGAGAATCAAATCTACCATGTATAATACATGTTCTAGATACTGTAAATCACTTTTTATTCGCGAGAACTTTATTTTCGCGTAATTTCACGAGACGGTATGCTCGCGAAAATTTCATTCTCGCTTATAATAGAATTCCTTAAGATTATGTAGAGCAATGACCACAATTTGTGAAACTTTTGTTTCGCTAAAAAAGAGTCAAAGACTATCTCGCGAAAATAAGGTGTCGCGATAATTAAGTGATCAACAGTACTTGAATCAAATCTTAGGGACAGACTTCAAAGTGCCAGACCTTGGTGCATGGAATGTTTTTGCAATAAGTAGCAAATGCATTGTTGGCAAGTATGTTGAGACATACAGTATCATATAAAATTACATGTACATTTGTACAGTGCATTGATTTTGTTTAATGGTAATTGTAAAGTTACCATCTTTAATTTGGTAACTACATGAATCATTTACTTAATTCCCAGCAAATAGCTAGGCTAGAGTTAAAAGATCAAGGTTCTGTGTATTATCAGGACTTGGACCTTGCAAGATTTATCTTGAACCTTTTTGGGGGATGGGGATGAGGGAATACTTCCCATTAACTGTGTGCCTTAATTAAATGCATCCCTCAGTTATAAAAATCACCATGTCACACTAGATAGAAATTCTATTTTATGCTTCAATTATAAATGGAATACAATATGCTGTGAAGCTCCTGCAAAATTTTTATTACAACTGCAAAAGAGTGAAACAAATAATTTACGTAATGTTATCTTGTACACAAGTTCAACAGTTAATATAAACATATATATAAAGACTGACTCTCATTTAGGAACAAGCACACACATAAATCTATACATGTACAACAATAGAAAGAATATCACAGTCTCTATTATTAACAAGAACAATTATTTTTAGATAATTGAAGCACACAATAGGTAATGGAAATCTGATCAGGACCTTTATCAATTATCATTGTTCTTTAATATCCCACAGATTCGTATATGATTTTTTAGTGAATGGCTTCTGGTACATGCAACTTCAAATCAATTTAAAAATCCAATATATTAAATTTGATGGGAATTTTTGAAAATATAAACACATGATAATGAAATTAAATATTACATATTTTACAAATTACAAGTATTTATATGAGAAAGTGAAACCATCTTTGACAAATACAAAGACACCTTGTCTTTGTGAATTAATACGTAAATCTTGATATCTACGAAAATCTAACAATAGGGCCATCATTTGATTGACACAGGTCTGTTGTTGGCCAGGTTCTGTAACTCCTGCATGGCTTTCTTGACCTCCTTGGCTTCCTTCATTGAATTCACTCGTACAGCATTGTAGCGAGACTGGATCTGTATAAAATTAACAATGATGTGACAAGAATATTCATTACTAGTTTGTATTTTAAGACATTGCCAATAGAAAAATGAGGGATATCAACAAGTATTATGAGTACTAAACTTAAACCTCATCGTTGAATACCCACGGTTGATCTCGTTCTTTACTCAGCACCAAATGATGATGAGTAAAGACGAGATCACCCGTGGTTATCCCATGATGCTTAAACCTCTGATTATTGTTCTTCCCAATTAATGTTGACATCCCTAGAAATAATTCTTTGATTTCCACTATATAGTGTTAAAAAAATTATGAACACAGTCGAATACTGAACAGAAAGAATGTACAAATAAAATATCTTTTCCAATTAAAGAAATATCGTAAAACATTTAAAGAATCTAACCTCGCTGAGAAGTACTGGTGCCTGGTTGAATTTCTTCTGCTTCTTCGGATCTTTGAGGACAGTTGCCAGGTTTGCTTCTTCAGTGGTAGAACGATTCTTAAGATTTTCTAGCACCTCGTCAATTTTCTGTTGCCTTGTCTTACGAGGTGGTTGAGGAGGCATTTGCCACTACAAACAGAATTTTTGTGAGTTAGAAAATTACAAAATGTCATCGTTGAATAAATTCAAGTTGCTTTGTTTAATGTTCATGCCAATTTAAAGCTCAAAAATATTTGTGTAGTTATTTTGTAAATGACAAAAAAGATTAGACTGGAGGGAGCGGGCTTTACCTTTTGATACGGAGGAACTGGTTTGCCCACTTTATGAAGGAGAGCTGCAGAGTCACGGTACACTAGTTCATGGTTCAGTGCATACTTCAAAGCTTTGATATTACCCTGCATATCTACAAAACACAGATATTCTTTACTAGTAACTATTTTTTTTAAACAAACTTGACATTCACAATGGACATGAGTTTTAGTTGTAAAAAATATGTAATACTTTGATCATAGGTTTTGACACTTAATTAGTAACACTTCTTCACAGAGTTATATGACTTGAACAAATTTGATTCCACACTAGTACCTGAAGATGTTTATCACATACATTTTACATTAAATGGCTCAACATTTTACCCTAAATGGATCAATCTTTGTTCTTGCAAAAATAATGAAAAGGTTTTTTTTCTACACATTCTTATGTAAAACTTAATTTGATTGCCCATTGTACTGGACCCTCACTTCCCAAGGATATGCTTTGAAAAAATGACCAATTTTGGCTTTGCTTTTTTTTTTTTTTTTTCCAAGATGATTTCTATTGATATTTCCAATATTTTACTGTAAACTTAAAATACCCTAAGTGACTTCACCCTACCCCAGATATGATCTAAACAAATTTGAAACTTTACTACTGTATGCTGGGAAATGTTTGATCATGTTTTATTTTGGCCCCTTTCACCCTTGCCTATGTTACATAAATTTAAAACGGGGCGAATTCATCATGTTCATAGAATGCAGTATAATTTTTTAAACAAAAGTGTGACTGGGTGAATTTAAGAAGGGGCAAAATTGTTTGCATGTTTGAAAGGGCGGAAATAAAGCAGGACGAAAATATCCCTCCATGTATACAATATGTAATTAAACTTTCACACAAGTTAATCTTTCCTTGACTAGCAATTCTGAAAAGAAGATTTTAAGTAGATGCCATCAAATTTTTAATTATCTCTCCTTGCAAACTGCACGCCACTTAATTTGAAAACAAAAGTCATACCCCCTTCACCCAAAGATGTTTGATGGTAAGTCTGGCTGAAATTTGCCCAGTGGTTTCTGAGAAGAATCGAAAATTAATGTGAAAAGTATATAGAGACAGAAGACAGATGGATACAGGACTAAATACTGCCAAAAAAACTCGTTTAAAATCTCCACTCAGGTGAGCTGACCAGGTTGTATGATATCTAGAATCATAAATTATTCTTTGAATTAAAGATGTTTAATTAGTTTTTGAAGTGAATACCTTTTGGAGTAACAAAATCTGGGTCATCCTCAGCATCAAGGAGGATTTCGTATCCCTTATATTTATCTGGTATGTCCCTCCTTTTGGGTCGTTTTTCCGGTTTTTCTCTCCTCTTTGGTCTGGTTGGCACTGGTTTACTCTCTTCTTCTGGCTCATCAACCTATGAAATGAAAATATTGAATTCTATGAACAAAGAACCAATTTCTGTCTACATGAAATTTAGTTTAATGGGCCTGTACAATCAAGGCTTATAACAATTACTTTTGAAGCTTTTTATTTTTTTAACTGGTAGTTTTAAGAGTGAGTTTACCTGTGTCATGAAGAATGCAGCTTTGTCATCCTTCTTTTGGTCTGCTCCAGCTGCCTCTTCCTCTGAGTGGGCACGCTGGTACTGTGGAGATGGGGGGATGGCCGATTCCTCCTTAGGAGGGGACTGATATCGACTGTACTCAGGTGATGGAGGGATAACAGAGGTACCCTCAGGAGGGGACTGCATTCTACTATAGTTAGCAGAGGGAGGGATGGTTGAGGACTCCTCTGGAGGGGACTGCATTCTACTGTAGCTAGCAGAGGGAGGGATAGCTGAGGACTCTTTTGGAGGAGACTGCATTCTGCTGTACACTGCAGAGGAGGGAACTCGAGCCTCTTTAGGTGCTGAATGCATCCTTCCAGACTCAGGTGGAGCAGGCACAACAAAAGAGATTTCAGGAGACTCAGATTTTACTGAAGCATCTGAGTCAAAGAGTTTGTTATACTGAGGTGAGGGTGGTATTTCCGCTGGCTCTTCTGTCTTAGCTGCTATTGGGGGCAATGGTGCTTGATGAAGGTCTAGGCCATCTATGGTTTGACTAACTTTCTCTTTTGGAGGTGGTGGTTCAAGCATGAGACGCTCCTCTAAAGTCAATTTGGGAATTTTAGGAACAATAGAGGAGACCTGGGGAAAAAAGTAAAATGTTTACAATTAAATCTGAAAAAATTATAAATAAGATCTTAATAGCAACGGTAAACACTTTCAGTAAAGGTTGAAATGAGGTTATTAGGAGCAATTTCAAGGGAAACTGACTAAACACATAGAGTAATTAATGTCAACCAAACGTTCAAGTTTAATATCACTTTTCCTACATCTGAAGCAATTTCAATTGACATGGATTCTTACACCCACAATCTGACCTACTCTGAGATCCATGATATTACTAATCTGGTACATGAAAATGCAGACATTCTCAGTTCCTGTGCATTTATCAAGTAGTAATTTTGATTTTTTTAAAAAAAATTTACCTTTCGTTTTCTCTTTGGAGGAACAACCACTTGAGGCTTTGACTTAGGTTGTGGAGCTTTTCGAACCAGTTTAATACCAAGTCTGGCAGTAAGGAAACGTTTCAGCAGTGGGGGATCCCCACTATGATCTGAGGTCAGAGGGTTATTATGGATCACAAGTTCCACCAGCATGGGCCAGGCTGCCACAGCTAGAAGGGCCTCCTCTTCAGCTATCTGGTTGTGGGCCAGATTGAGATAGGCCAGCTCTGGGAAGGGTGGCAGATTTGCGGCCAGGAGTTGGGGAGGTTCCTTTGAGATGTTTTTAGTTTTGTTGTGGTTGGATCTGGATTTTTCTGGTGAAGGCTGAGTTGGTTCCTCTAACAAAGGTTCATTTTCCTGAAGGTCAATGTCTTTTATGGCTTCTGAAAGGTCACCAAATTCAGCACTGACATCTTGAAAGCTGGCAAATAAATCTGAAAATAAAACCATAAATAAAGATATATAGATATAAAAATGATACTGCAATAACTTTATGCATAAAAAATCATAAAAATCAATAGAATGAAAAACAAGCATTTAATTATGTGTAGACTAATACTGAAGCATTCATATTTAAACTTTAATCATGGATTCAAAGAAAATGCATAGATTAGATACCAGTTAATTTACTGTTCATTTGTGTTTAACAAACTTTTTTAAACATTACAGCTATTTGCAAAAATTGTTTCATTTTTTTTATAATCTCTCCTAAATATCATGACACATTGTGCACATTTCAGATATACACTAAAATTGACCACTGCTAGAATTACCAGTGCTCTCTGAGGGTTTTGGTTCTGGAGGAATCTCCTCCTTTTTCATTTCTTGTTCTGGATTTATGGGTGGTTGTGTTTCTATTTTTTCAGGGGAAGGATCCTGCTTTTCTGTCTTTTCAAGAGGTGGATCTTGTTTTTCTGATCTTTGACCTCTAGCTGACCCTCTAGCAGATAATCTGGCAGATCGTCGGAGTCGTCTTGTTGATTTCTCATCATCGTTTATAATCATGGTTCCCTCTACTGACTTAAGTTGTGGTACATAATATATATCATTCTTTTCTAGATTCAGGTGCTTTAGTCTGAAATGATCATCCACAGAAAACTTAAACTTTGAAATTAATATAACATATTGTAACATACATTTATTTTGATTTTAAATTTTCATAATGTTTGATACAAACCTTTTAAGTCCTGCTAAAGCAGCAAATACTGAGACATCAGAAAGACGATTGTCATCAAGCATCAGAATTTCCAGTTTAGAGTAACGAAATATTCTGGTTTTACTGAAATAGTCATCATAAAGCATTATGCTTATATATATATTTCTTGATTAAATCATGCTTTGTATTTATGAGGCATGGCATATATCTGAAGCATAACATACATGTATATACTGCGAAATCACAAATTTTCATGGGGGGTTAATTTTCGTTGTTTCTAGGTATGAAGAGACCCAGGAATTCATGTCCACCACAAAATGTAAAATGTTACATACATAACTTCTCAACAATTCTTCATCCATGAATTCAAATCCCCACGAACCAAGAGTTTTTACTAAAACCACGAAAATTTGACCCCACGAAAATATGTGATTTTACAGTAATACTTACTTTTCTCTGTCAACATAGGGGAGAGCAAAATCAGCAGGAATAGTACGGAAGTTATTGCCTGTCAGGTGTAGAATCTTCAGGTTTGGTAAAGTTCCCAAACTTAACAGGTCCTCATGAGATAGGTTGTTATAGGACAAATCTACCATCTAAAAACAAATTTATCTTAGATCAACCTATACGCCTGCAATGCAGATCAAACAGATGTACATGTTACCATATAAGTATCATTAATTCTTAGGCCAACAGATGAAGCACATATATTACATACCTCCAAATAAGGGTAGTCCCCATTCTGCAGCTTGATCCCTCTCAGTCCGTTGATGGGCATTTCTAGTTCCCTTAATATTGGAAAACCCCTGAATGCCTCTGTAATAAGCATATGCTTCTAATTTTAATCATAAATAATTAATTTAGTTTTTGTATCTACTTGAAAAACAATATCTAGTGTAATTTAAATTAAGTATAAACAAGAAAGTGTGCTTACCAAATGGAAGATAGTTCTCAGCAGCATTTACATAGGCTACATTATCAAACAGGGCAAGGTCATCTTCTTTGACCTCTGACATTTCTTGACCTGATATGTTGACAGAGCATAAGTCTGATGGATCCTCAACGCAGCAGTGCTTCATCTAAAACAAGAAAGCAATGCATCACATTAATGTTTCAATTTGACAAAATATATGAGCAATACATATTTTTCTTTTTATTTTATGAGACTGGTCTAAACAGACTTTAAGCAACATTATATCTGTATAAATTTGGGATACATAGACCATGAATATTAGTGTATCTATCTCACCTGTAAAAGCATGTGACTAATAATACAATGATTTTTGTTTCATTCCTAGTCCATCCATATATTTTCAGAGAGGAATGAATAAACAAACATAAAAAATTTATTATGGATACATATAATCATTATTATGCATTAATAATAAATTTTCGATATAATGTATTTTTAATCCTCCTTTCCATACTATAGCTAAAACCTTGCACAAAGGAGAAATAAAATTCTAGATTTACCAGAAAGAAGCCGTCCAGTATAGGCGACTCGTCCTCCTCCTCTTCATCCTCGGCCAGACTCTGTACAGCCATTGTTATCTGTGTGCCCTCCCTCTCCGCCTTCTTACGCTCCTCCTTGATTCGGGAATATGTCCTCGGCTTGGCACAGAGGACTGCCTTGAAGCGGCGTCGCTGTTCTGCCCTCTGAGAAACAAGCCATGCTCCTCCTCCTTTTAAAATAACAGAATCTTTATTAATTCAAATTAATGGTAAATTTCCTTTGTATTATTTTATAAACTTTTGATGGTCAAGTTAACCAAATTTGACATTACTAATGAAAAGTTTTGTGTGTAATCCCAATGACAACAAATGCTGAGAGTTATGCAAAGTAATAGGATTCTGATATTGATAGACTAGCAGCAAATCATCATTATATGATTAATAGTTTATTATGAATGTGTAATTTTTATATCAATTATTGTTTTGCAACAACTAGACTATTAATATGAACAGAAAAGATTCCAGCTGAACATATATAAATTCTAAAAAATCCTCATTGGACATATTACCCAGTTTCTTAATCTATACGCTTGGAGGGACATTAACAAGGTTTTGATTGTAGGTTGTGGAAAATATCCAAGGAGTTCCAATTAGCTACGTCTCTAGATTTTTCATTATGCTAAACAAAGTAGTACTTGATGACCACCCGTTTCACTTTACTAGTGAACAGAAATTAGTGACTGTACATAATTTGGCGTATTAAAAATTTACCACAATATTACATGGTATGAAGTTGCTGGTGTATTCACTATTCATGAATAAGGGCTACACATTTTTGTGCCATGTATTGTATATGATAAATGATTTCTTAGTGGCATTCATAAATTAGCGCATCCTTGTCTGTGCCAAAGCAGCTTAAATATAAAGCCTGCTTTTTTAAGTATATTGTATTAACATTGAACATCTTACTCAAAGTGGGTAATCTGTGTGCATGTTTCTAAGATTTTGTATCTTACTTTTGGTATTTCAAAAGGTTGGAATGATGAGACTAGGATTTCATGTAATTTTGACAAGTTTTTGTGTCTAATAAATATTCTCAGAAGCTGGATGGCAGTCTTCACGAAAACTTTTCAAACTAACTGGCCAGTCGGACCAGTGAACTTTCAAAATTTACTGGCCCCTTAATAAAAAAAAAAATAAATACATTTCCATAACTGTAAATTTATACATGTTTACGTACTTCAACTTTTGAATGCCGCTATTTTTCGTCCTTTGTCGCGTTTTGGTAAGCTGTTCGTTGGAAATTCGCACATTTTACGTACTAGTTAATAGTTACTAGCTAGTTCCAGTTGTTACGTAATACATCCATGTTATAATAAGGTTACAATAACACGATTCAACAACACGTGCTTGTTCTTTTTGTATTATGTATCAATGAAATTTATGCAAGTAAGTCAGTTAAGATATATATTGACTGTGTATGATTTTTATAATCAACAAGCCCATCGGACTTCTTGAATTTTGATTTTCACTGACCCGACATCAAAATTCACTGGCCTCGGTCTTCGGACCAGTGAGTTTTTGTGAAGACTGGGATGGGGGGGGGGGGGGGGGGCTACACCATCCATTTGCAAGGACAGGTTTTTGGATCATGTGTATTCCTGGAAGCAAGTTATTTAACTCATTGATGGTCCGAGGGAAGTATGAGTACTTCTGATACTTGTACAGGACGTAATTTGGTAGATCATTTGATGTGTACATCATGATTGACGTAATGGTGGGACCGACTGGAACGAGTCGATCACGATGACAAATTGCTCATTAACAGTTAGCCTAATTTTGTTTGAAAATATCTGTGTATAATTTAATTCCATCTTCTATTAAACACTTGAAATCATGATTTTCTTGTGTTCATGTATATTTAGAAAACACCGTGGATTATCATTGTGAGTTAAGTACATTGCAATCGTGAGAAAAATCAGACTGCAAGTGCGTATCCTTTGTTTATGTCACTATTTCATGCTGACTTGTTAAATTATTAACAAATACTGGCAAGCAGAACTGCCTTTAATGACAAAAATATATAAGTACCATCATCTGCAGGCTGGAGGATTCCTCTAACAGGAAAGCAGTTAGCTGCAAATGAGTCAGATTCCTCCGGATCCGCAAATTTCACCCATGGCATTGCGGCCGCCATTTTTAAACATTGCTAAGGAAACAAACACTTCTCGCCAGGACGAGAATATGGTCTTCATGACAAAGAACAAAAAAAAACATAAATAGATATGCAGAAAAAATATATTTCAGATAGTGTTATTCATTGAAAATGAGAGTTTCTCAAAACAAAACGTAATAGCTAAATTGATTATATATTTACTAATATTTAACAAGACGAACATAAACTTATTCGTCCCTCCCTCCCCCAATACAAATAGTGTTGTTATTTCATTTAAAATGAGAGGTTCCAAAACAAAACGTATTTATTATATTTACTAATATTTAACAAGACGAACATAAACTTATTTGTTCATTCCTGAGAGTGAAGATTGCCTCCCCCTCCAAAATAATCTTATGAAATATGTAAGGTACATGTATTTGAGGGGAAAGACTATTTTATCGTTATATTTTAGAACCTATTAAAACGCATTTAATACTTTATAACATTTAATAAATTAAACACACATTATTTTTTGGGTAAAACAATGATATCTTATTAAAACCAATTAAATATAAAAATTTATGTAAATTATATAACGATTTGATGGAATACTCGTGTGTACAATCATTACGATCATTATACATGTACCCCCGTAATCGAAGATTCGGGGGTATATAGTTTTGTTGTATTCGTCTGTCTGCATGTCTGTCTCTCTGAAAAATTCAGGGGTCCTCTATTGCTCTGCTCTCGATTTGTTTTTTAAAATAGACTTTGAGACTTTGAGACTGATTGTTGTTTGTTACCTTCATATCTTACATGTTAAAGTCTTTATTGAACAAATGAAGAAAGCCTTTTCCCATTTTTTTTTTTGTTGCTGACTTCATGCTAATTGTTACACCATTATTAACACACTGAATTTTCGACGGATTTTTTCCGTTATTTTTTATCATGAAAAAGAGCGCATGGCGAATGTGACCGTTCGGCAGGGGATGCTCATTTATAAAACTTTATCTGTAGTCATACGAATCTGAAAGCGAACAACTTTAATGACCAAATGCAGTTTCATGAAAGTTATTAAGATTTTATTAAATTAGAAATGAATATTTTAATAGTTTAAATAGTCACCAGTTTCATAAAAAATTTAGCGAAAAAAAATGTATAATTATGAATTAGATAAGATAAAGTCGTTAAGATTTGTTTCGAATTCTCATATAAAATGACACAATCAGTTCAGCCCATTGGCAAGTGGTTTTTGAAAAGAAACGATAATCGTGCTACGATAAACACCCTCCAGTATACAGTATGATGGAATTTTCTAAACTGTTTTATGATTACCGTAAATCTGGAAATTTTTACGTCGATTTTATTTTGCGAATTCGGGTCAAAATGCTGTTGATTAATTTTTACGCTTCAAAATTTTGCGAATGACCACTCCTTTGTTAACATTTTCTTATTGGTGATTTATTTTTAAGAAAAATATTTTTGCGAATGCACTGAACTCGCAAATTTGCAAAAAATTTATCTACAGCAAAAATTTCCATATTTACGGAACAATTTAAATTTAATAATGTAAAAAAAAAAAACCAAACAAACCTCTTATTCAGGATCAGAAAAAAATATCGATACTAGATTACCGAGTGAACGTACAAGAATTTGCTTATTATCAGAGTTCTTCTTTCTCCAGAGCTTTCTCCATCCGGTAGCTCAGAATCTCTAATTTGGTTTTAATATATGTAGACCATTTGATTTGATGTTTTTTTCTTTTTTTTACTGAGTAAATGAAATATATGGAGATAACGATCAGTAGTCAGCTGTACGGTTCATTAAACAATACAAAATAGGAGCAGAGCAAACACGGACCTCCAAAACATCAGAAGTGGGATCAGGTGCCATGGAGGAGTGAGCATCCCCTGCCGACCTATCACGCCCAGCTTGTTCTCTTTGTCATAATCGGGAAATAACAGGGAAATCCATCGTCAATTCAGTGTGTATTTAATGGCCTAACAATTTGTATGAAAAACGTCAGTCAGCATATGACTCAATAATAAATTGTATTTGATTGTATTTGAACATATTTTATTATGTAAGAATACATAAATGGATTGGGCAGCAGGCATAGCCTATATAAACCCTCTCCACGGGTTATAAGGTAAAATAAGAGCTTCTACAGATAATCCTACATTTGACTGTGTGTTCCATCCACAGCTTGAGCTTGAGATGAAAGATACCACAGAAATTGACACATTTGTTTCATATTTTGATATTACACATGTAGTATTTTACATGAAAAGACCTTAATGTTAATCTAATAAACAAGCTGTATGATAAATGTGATGACTTTAACTTGTAAATCGTCAACTTCCCTTACGTATACAGCATCTACATACGGGGTTTATATCTCTCAGTTGATCCAATACGCAAGAGCATGTGGACAATTTCTATAACGAGCTATATTATTGACAAAAATGTTAATGATACAAGAATATCAGCAGTCTCGTTTAAAGTAATCATTTCGTAAGTCGATATAATGACCTTGTCAGCAAACACAGTTAATCCAAAGTCCACATAAACCATTACCGGTTTTTCTTTTTCTTCTTCATTCTTATTTTTTTTTTCTTTTCTCCTAAATTCCATTCAATTTTGTGTTAGTTATATATAACTTATTGGTGAAATATGAACTTGTAACTATATTATGTAGAATAATGTGTATTAATTTTATTAAATTTTGTTTAATAAGTTCAACCTAAATCGAGAGGTGGTTAATTTTTTCTACAATTAAACTGTCTACATGGCATGCATATTCAAAAAGCCCTAAGCACAGTCGAAGTCCTTAATGGAGGATTGCGTTAAATCCTTTTAAGTAAAAGGTCCTTGCTGATCAATTTTCAATGTAGCCATAGTTTAATTTAAGAAGGGAACCCCTTTCTGCCCCCATTCAGTTTTGCAATAACTAATAACATATAGAACCCTGCACACTTTTTTCAGCATTTTAATATGTGGAATAAAAGACAGTTTATCATCAAATATGACACATCTTTTTAATTACTTCAGGTAAGCTGTTCAGTTCTTTCTTAAATAATGTGACTGATACATGTAGGATACTTCCTTGTAGTACACGTCGCCCGCGTGGCGCAGTGGTTAAGGTTTCGTCAAAGGTCAACATGTCCAGAAATTTACTTTTACAATAGCCCCAAAACTATGTGTAGTCTGGTCCTGATTTTTAAAAAGAGGGCTAGAAATAACTTCTAACGGCAAATAATTATTATTTGGTCCAGCATAGTTTTTTAAACCTATTTCGAGCATGCTGAATCCGAAAAAATATGCTGGCCTTCATGAAAATGGCGTTAAAGAGGTCAAAATGGCGATTCAAAATGGCGGACATCCATTTTTTCTAATTTTCTCTTAATGTTGTTCAAAATGTAGAAGTAATGAGTGAATATCTAACTGAGTGTAGTAAAGCTATAAAAATTATAATAGAATGCTAACATTATTAGTTAAACTCAGAAAATTTAGTCGTTCTTACACTTAATTCGAATTTTCTCTGATTTTTTGTCTATTGTTCTATATTCCGCTTTGTTCGGGATTTTACATTTGCAAATATCCATACACTGCAGATTTGTATTTTTCCCTCTAAATAACACTACTCTACAATTGAATGATAGTGCAGCTGTAAGTTAAAAGTCAAAATGGCGATTCAAAATGGCGGATATTCATCTTTTTTTAAATTATTTCTTAATGTCGTTTACATAAGAAAAAGGATTTGTGAATATTTTACTGAGCGTAGTACAACTATGTAAAATGACAATAAAACACTAATTTGATCACTTTAAATCGGAAAATTTAGTCGTTAAATTTGAAATGTGTTAATTAGTTCAAAATGGCAATTCAAATGACGTCTTGTACACTCAAATTTCGTAAAATACCCAAACTGCTTAATTCTGGTTGGTTTTGCAGAAAATAAATTACAGTTTGTTTTTTTATTCATAAAATATAATCAAATATGCAATGAAAGTTGGAGGATATTTTTGTTAGCGACTTAGGATTTTTACAACACGGATTTTTGTTTCATTACTTCTATTGTTGAAGACATTTTACCTTTTGCCTGTCTCACCATGCATCTTCATATAAAAAGTTAATATTATCATACAATAATTGCTGTTTTAAGGACAATATGAAAATTAAGCTACCCCAAGAGCAGTATTCCCCGAGCATTAAGGCGAGTGAACATTCAGTTGTTGAAAATTCTTGATCTGTTTTTAGTCCAGTGTAGAAACAAAATAAATGTTTATTTATGTTCATGTGGAAGGTCTAGTGCAACATAACTTAGTATGATTTTATAATGATTGACCACGACCAATTAGAGGGCTAGTAATTGTTACATCATATAAATCTGAATATATTATAATATCCAAATATAAACATATTTATTAAGAATTATCAGTATAATATAAAAGCATAAATTTTCTTGATTGTCCAGCTCTGATTCTGTGTCCCTAGCTACATTTGCATTTTGTTATTCTCAGTCAAAAATTCAACTGCATTCTCAAATATTTCATGTAAATGGATAGTTTTGTATTGAACAGTGTACATAAATTTAAAAATTTTGAAATTTACAAAATCTGAAAGAATAAAATGTTTGTGTCCAATCCCCCCTCGATTCTTGATACGACCTTACACTATCCCAACAAAGAAGTGTGGATCAAGTTGCCTTGTAAAGTTCTTGAAGTGTTCACGAAAATTTTGTTGTCAAGAGAAGTGTTGACTAGATCAAAATCAGGAATGGCTTATAGGCCTATTGGTACGAAAGCTTGTAAGTGATAGGAATCACAAGGAATCTGCAGGCGCTCTTAAATTGAATAATTTTACACTTTTCTCACCAAAATATGCACACAATGTGATTTCAGATGATCAAGTTTGAGAATTTTCTTGCTAACAGAATGATCTTTCTTCCCTAAAAGACAACAAATCTATACGAGGTCACAAAATAGAGCTACATGTCTTGAATATCAGAATTTTTTTACACCCTCCGCTTGAAAAGCGGGAGGGTATAGAGTAATCGG